GGGGGGGGGGGGGGGGGGGGGGGGGGGGGGGGGGGGGGGGGGGGTAGATGGGCTGTCCAGGTTTCCATGAAGAAAAGAGAAAACAGGGTAAATGTTAATTTATTATTATAATAGTGCATGTGATCACCAGCAAAGCACAGCAAAGTTGTCAGTGTTTAAAATAAGTGTTTTGCTATTGCTACTGTCCGTGCAATGTCCAAAACTGTTAATTAATTTAACACCTAATATCGTTATCACAGCAGCTGTCCCAGTCCTATATCAGCTGGATGACTGGATAAACAACAAACATCCGTCAACGCATAATAGCTTTTCCTAAACTGGGACGTATGCCTTGTAGGCATTGGTTGCGACGAAGAGGAAGTTTTCCATCATGTCTTTTGTATTTTAAAGGTGCTAAGTTTGAAATTCAGAGCATAAAAGAAGTAAAGTAGTGCAACTCCAGCAGAGAATACATGGCGGATATATGTATAGCACAATAACAGCAATAGAATATTGTTACAGTGATATCAGTAAAATGATGCAATGTAAAATAGAGTTGTGAGTTGAGGTTACATATCCACCTGAGACCACAAGGCTGTATGATGTTCACTGGAGTCATATTGAATTATAAAATGACATCTCTGCAGACTCAATTTTCCATCTTCTGCCTCATCACTCTGAGCTGGGCCTGACATTATATTAATCCCCTTCAATATTTTTGAAGATTTTCTCAGGCCATGTCTTTAATATCAAACCTTTTCATTTTTTCCATGTGTAATCTTTCTTACTTTCACTCTATTTCCATGACAGCTTACACTCACCACAAAGAACCCGGACTTCTCTCAGCCTTGTCATCTTAATTTGTTCTCATCATGGAAAAAAGAAGCTCTCTACCATACTCCCCCCTACTTTGGCATTCAAGTTTACTAGGCTTCTACTGCCGCAGCCTTCTGTCCTTTAAATCCATCATCGGAAAACTTCAAGTCAGACCTCATGCTGTTTACCCGTTCACCTGAATTCTCAATGCCTCAATCAGCAGTCCTTTATTTGGACTTTGTAACTTTTTTGATGACCCCATTAATTAGATTTGTAAATCGCACCCTAATCTGACACTATACCTGTGTCCGGTTTCAGAGGCTCCTCCTCCCCAAATGAGAGACTCTGTGATCCCCACAGAGATCAATACTGAGTCTTCAGGTGTTCCTCATCCACTCCTAAAATCACGCACTTTTAGGTCTATCGCCAGGAATTTGCCCTTACAGATTTGTAATGATGGAAATTGGCAAATTGTGTACCAGATTAATCATAAATACCAATATATTCTCTTCAGTTACTGTATGTATTTACCAGTGACTCACCACCTCAGCTTGAATACTTGCTAAACATGCATGGTCACCTAATAATTGTGGACTTTGCGAGTTGATGGAGAACATCACGTATTCCATTAATTAATGTAGCAGCATACCGTGCATTGTGGGATACTTAGGGCTGCAAAGTAAACATTGCACAGGTTGTGCGCTCCAAAGTCAGACTGTACAGTATTTGTCGGCTACATTAAGGAATCCTTGAAATGCGACAGACCTTGCCAAGTTGTTATGACATTTAGTCTAGGACTGCAGACAATAACATCTCGCACGTTGTGTACATCTTCCATCATATACGCACTACACACTAACTTAGGAAGTCCAAACTCCTAACACAAAGATGACTTGACTTCAGTCTTACCATACGATCAAATGGTCCCAGTGAACCTTCTCTGACAAAGCCCCATTAAAGCTTTGCAGCACTGATTGTCCAAACCAAAACACATCACTTTATTCCACATCTACGACTTCCACAAAATGGACTCATCAATCAAATATGTATTTACCGCTGAGCGGTAGCAATGTTCTGTCTTTCCAATTTTCAGTGCTGACTTTGTTTCATTGATGTGATTGCATTTGTTATTTTGTTGTTATTGTTGTTTTCATACTATCTCCAGATTCATTTCTCACATGCTGGCTCATTTCATTTGGTTCACCAAAAATACAAGTGAGGGAGTGAGGTTACTAAATGTTTTCCATCCAAATTCACAAGTCACATCGTTAGATTTAATGGATCATTATGATTCTTTTTTTCTTGTCTGTTTAATTTCTAGTCAGTGCTAAATCTTCAGTTTTTATGTCACTGTTTTTAAATTCCAGTAGATCTGCAATTTTTCCGAAACCCAAAGCCACAAAAAGGGGGAGCAACTCTCTGGCGTGGGTAGAGAAGGACCAGAGGCCTTTTCCCACAGGGTTGGCAGCTGCTGAGAATTGAAAGAGCTGCACAGTAGCAGACAAATCTCACTTTTCAGTACTTCTGACTGTTTGTATTGGTGTCACTGTGTTTAATAAATCATGTAATCCAGCATTTTCTTGAATTTTCAACAAAATGTGTTAAAAGATCAGTGTTTTCATATTGTTCAAATTCTTGAGTAATTGTGGTAAATCATCAATTAAGTACTAATATTAATGATAAATGATAATCACCTTAATTTTAGTCCCCGAAATCCAATGCAGCTTGGTAACACACATGGGAAGAAGGAAGAAATATGTGTTCAGGGGGGAATCGCTGGAATGTAGCACGTGGACATTAACATGGGCGTTGCGCAACATGGCCATTATAATTTAACAGCGTATGTTTGTTTTTTCCCCATGTCTGTAACAGGTAATTGTTACATTGTCACTTTTTGTTTTTTTCTTTACAATAACCAGATGACCATCAGTCCAATATAATAACTATTTTGAACTGAATCTTCGGTACATCATCAAGGTTTCCCCAAAGCTTAAAGCAACCCAGTCAAATCCTGGTTTAGTATAACGGTTAGCAAATCTTCTTAGTCTTTTTTGTTCTCATTTAATGCAATGAAAGAGAAACCATGTTTGCATCAAGCACCTCCCTCACAAAATATTTTCAATAATGATATTTCCCTGTGACCTTAAATATTTAGCTCTGGGTATTGCCTCTCAGTGGGAGGTTATGAATTAGCATTTGTCTATTAAATAGCTGTTTACTTATCGAACACTAAGCATTATGTGGGGTTCATGATCTGAAGAGGGTTGTGGCTCCGAGCTGCAGAGCATGACTGGGTGGGTACTAATGAATGGCTCACATCGCTCCCTTGTGGCGGTGATGGGTAAGACTGTTTCCTGTTCTCACTGAACCGGGGACAGATATAACAAGGGCTTGAGTGCTGTAGAGCTGGCCATTCCCCTTCTTACCAGTGATGATGTTGGAGCTTTCAATTTCTGCTGCATTTTTTCTCGCAATATTTACATTTTTGGAGTTTCATTTTGATTTTTAAAGTAGATATAGCCTATAGATTTTTTTTTCTCTCGACCGTAACCCTGCTAAATCCTCGGATTCTGGTTTTGGAGAATTTTCCCAGGTGTCCTACTCATTTTAGACCATAGTTTTTTTTCCTGTTTTGAAAGTCCACATTGTAGATTTCTGCATCTTAACTCTACTTTCTTTGGCGCCAACATTTTTGTCACATATTTCATATTACAGGTGGAAATATTTTCAAGCGTCTTGAGTTTTTAGAAAGCTTGGGAGATTGATGTTCAAGAAGTCCTTGTTTATCACTTAACACGTTCTGAGCCTCATCATAGCTCACCCTTCGTCTTGACACCTGTGAGGACACAAGGAAGACTTTTTCACTTAAGACCCTGTGACTGTTTCAGCGATTGCATGATTGCACAAACCTGACGCATCTGCAGAGGACACGACTGCGGCAATGGAGAGTACTTCAAATGAAAGTGACTTTTGGCAATTTAACGAATCCTGGCGGAACTCAAGTGTCGTTAACGGCACCGGTTGGTTGAATCAGACAAACCCTCTTAAGCGGAATGAAGAAGTGGCGAAGGTGGAGGTGGCCGTTCTCGCACTGGTGCTGTTTCTGGCGCTGACGGGGAACCTGTGCGTCCTGCTGGCCATCCACACCACCAAGCACAGTCAGTCTCGCATGTATTACTTCATGAAGCACCTGAGCATCGCCGATCTAGTTGTGGCGATATTTCAAGTTCTCCCTCAACTTATCTGGGACATTACATTTCGGTTCTATGGACCAGACATTTTGTGCAGGTTGGTGAAATACCTACAGATCGTCGGAATGTTCGCCTCCACGTACATGTTAGTATTGATGTCTGTAGACAGGTGTTTGGCAATTTGTCAGCCACTTCGTTCGTTGCACAGGAGAAAAGACCGTTTCTATGTCATATGTTCCTGGGTCCTGAGCCTGATCTTCAGCATCCCGCAGATGTTCATTTTCTCCCTGATCGAGGTTGGCTCGGCCGGATCAAGAGTGTATGACTGCTGGGGCGACTTCGTGAAGCCTTGGGGAGCCAAAGCTTACATCACATGGATCAGTCTCACTATATATATCATTCCAGTGGCGACACTGAGCATTTGCTACGGGTTGATAAGCTTCAAAATATGGCAAAACTTTAAACTGAAAACTAGGCGCGAGCAGTGTATAAGCCTGACGCCCAAAACCTCCAAATGCAACACACTGGCCCGCGTGAGCAGCGTTAAGCTCATCTCCAAGGCGAAGATAACTACAGTGAAAATGACTTTTGTGATCGTCGTGGCTTATATCGTCTGCTGGACCCCCTTTTTCTCTGTTCAGATGTGGTCTGCGTGGGATCCAGCAGCGCCCCGTGAGGGTAGGTTGCATTTTAAAGTTGAATATTGTACCGAGTACGATTGAAACACTTACAAACCCATCATTTTCCATTATTTTGCACATTTGTCGTATGTTGCCACGTGGAAATGAATGGATATTTGATTGTCGCATCCCTCCAGCTGTGCGCATCAGTGCTCTTTACGCACGAGGATGCCATGGTTTGCTTATCAAGTTGGAGCAAACTAAGACAACAAAAACACCTGTTTAAGATTAATTTATTGTGTTTTACTCATTGAGGTGGGTCTGGCACAGGGGTTATGGCTGACTCAGAGCTGGGTCCTGTTGTTTGGGTAAATGTAACGCTGCCCGAGTGCGGTAGGCTACGGATGACGGAGTTTAGTGACTGGGCTGAAGCTCTGACCGATCGCTGACTATTTCAAAAGTCTGTTAAAATCACAAGTGCTTGGACTTGCTTATACGACCGTGTATGTGACATTTTACTATTACTGACATTTATCAATTTCAATGGAAAAAATAAATAATATTAAAATAATAATCGGTCTTACTCATAACGAGTTACTTGTCAATCTAATGTTCTGATGCAGTTTGTTTACATCAGGAATGCAGGAAAACAGACCGATATTTAGTTTTTCTAATATGTCAAATGCTTAGATGATCTATAATGGTACGTTCGGTGTGTGGTAAGAAAAACAGTCATATGGCCTTTAAAGTGCAAATTCTGTACACAGAATTTTCCTCTGACATCACGCTGCAGAGACCGACTGACGGCTAATCATTAATCAAATTAGTGTGCGCCAACACGGGCCAAGCAGCTTTTATTTGCGCCTGTAGGGCACGTTGAAGTGCGTCGTTGACATTTAGCCACAATAGGACAATAAGCAGCCATCTAATGTATGTGGTCCCTCTATCCATCGATCTGCTTCATAAAGGCCACACCCATATAACAACAGAACGTTTAATATGCCAACTCAACTTCACATTTGTAATGTGCCTCTGTGTTCCTTCCATGATTTAATTACATTAGATAGAGTAAGTGAAAAGCACAATTCAAGTAGCATTGTTGAAAGTAAATATGTGTTTGATATGAAAGGGGCTTTAATTAGTCTATGTGATTTAAGGGCATTTGTGAACTGGAAAAGTGAAGAGTAAATTGAATTAGAGCTATTAATATGAAGACTGGAGAATAATATGTCTGCATTTCCTCAAAGACGATACAAATGTAGTTTTCCAAGCGTTTTCCATCCCTTATAACTTTACTGCTTTAGTATTTCCTCACACAAAAATAAAGAAGAGAAACATCTTCTGCAAAAACAGACTAAAATTAAATAAACACAGCTAAAATAAGACACTGCAGAGTGCAGACGCCGGTGTTTCAGTCCTTGGGTATTTCGTTTTTTCCCCCGGCTGACTGATTGTGCGTTACTGTCATTCTCCTCAAGCTGCATTTTTCACACAAGCTATTTACACTTTGGAGTTAAACAGTTACTGTCATCCTGTTCTTCAACACTGAGGATGTATATTTGGCTCTGATGCTGCGCCTCAAAGTTATATTCCAAGTTACAGTTGCCAGAAAAAGAGTAACAAAAGGGCTCGAGCCTGTGAATGAAAAATAGAGTGATTAATTCATTTTCTGTTGCAGAGCATTGCTCAGTACAGGGAGGAGGCTGATGGCTGTCCTCCACGTGAACAGTGCCCAGAAAGGTCAGAATTGGCAGTGACACGTGACAGTGTTTGTGTACAAAAGATAGGCTGGAGTGTCACCTGTGTGTGCGCAGATAAAGTGTCCATTAGAGCCAAGATCCCACAGCTTAGATAGAAAGGCTTACTATGGAAAGAACCTATACATTGCAAACATGTGTTTCAGGCACTCATGATTTAAACAAACGAGTTTCAGAAAACACCGGATTATTAAGTATAATTTTGTGGTTGTAGTTAATGTTGTCAATTTGGAAGAGACACCAGGTTGTAATAATGCGTTTTAAATTTTGAGTTGTGGTGCAAATGAATCAGGGTCTGTACCTTTAAAACAGTTTGTGTTGTAGTAAAAAAAAAAATAGCAGCCAGTAAGGAACATACTGAACAAACGCAATATTCATTATTAATGGGAAATCATTGCCTATGAGGTAGCCTGCTGACTTATAGCAAATATTTAGTTAGCAGCTAATCTCAAACAAAGATTGTGCTGTTACATAATATTACATATTACATAATAATACATATAATCACCTTTTTTATTCTACTATGTATCCATAACATGTTGTATGAAACTTGAGTAAAACAAAACATTGTGAGAGGACTAAAGTCAAGGTTGTTTTTCCATGGTGCAGAAAAAAAGTGCATTGTTTCAGCATATTTGTGAATGATTGGCGCCATTATGGAAAATTAAAAAAATCTATTAAAGACATATTTTCAATTTTCACCGTCAAACAAGTTGACATTTCAACAAAAGAGAAGGATTACTACTTAAAGTTCGCTGTCTGATTTTGTAGGGCCACTCTCAGTAGAAACAGGAAGTACAAGTAGCATGCAGACTCCCACTGTTTCTCCACCCTGGTGCCCCATTAACAAAGTAATTATGTCTTCTTCAGTAAATGGTTCGGTAATTCCATGAGACAATCAAAACATAATGCATCGTTTTTTCCAAGTTCATATAGTTTGACATTTTGGAAAATATGGTTATTGGCTTTTCGGTCAAGATTTAGATGAGAATGTATATATGTATATATGACTTTTTTGCATCTCTCTTAATGTGCTTACACAGAAATAAAAACAGCATCATGTGTTCCACCTCATTTGCTCTCCACAGTGACTGTTTACCTTCATGCAACCAAACCGTTCAAACATGATAGGTCCACACTATGAGGCCAACAGAAACAAGAACGCTTCCGATGCTGAGATGAAACGAAACACAACGAGATGAAACGAGATGGGTGTTGCACAAGCCAATGTAAACCCTATACTATAAAGTGCTCTTTGACCATGTGAAATTATTTAAACTGATCTGCACTTTGATGTCTTGTAATAACCCTGGAATTATAATCTTTTTTAAAACTATTTGAGATAGCTATAGAATCATGCTCACTTGCATTGGGCGCAAACCTGCCTCTATAGTGTAATAAGTCCCTCAGTGGTGCATTAATAGTATATTTAAGTTCAGCCATGAGATGCTCCTATGAATAGCCTATAAATGATTTAATGAGCAAAGGTGTCGGTGCACTGCATGAACAAGTCTCATTGATTAATTTGTTCCATGACAGCAAGCTAGACTTTTCAGTATGGCACCAGGGGTCAAGATATGGTTCTACAGTCACTTTGAAAGAGAATAATCTTATTCAGATATCAGTTTGTCAGAAAGGCTGTTTAATAAAATCCCAAAATTGAGAAGGAAGTGGAAGAGAGGCCAGGTAGGATGGGCTTTTGTTTTCTCTTTGAATCAAATGGAAACATTTACGTAAGTTATGGCCTCAGATGTTCAGACACTAGCTGTAAAAATATTGCAGTCTTTTAAAAATATCGCCAATAACATAAATCTTGTCTGTGTCTGTAATAAGGTTGGTCTGCCTTGGAAAATTTATTGGTTTACCAAAACAGTTTGCATGCATTTTCTTGTGATTATTCTAGTTTGAGGTACGTAAACCCTAAATGAGAAAAATGCAAATAAGTAGGTGGTCAAGTATGTGTGTGTTTCTGCCATTCAACATTTTAACTTTTATTTTCTGTCTTCTGAAAACACACATCGTTCTGAATGTTTTTTCACTTGGTGGACACTACAGCCTTCCCTGCAGATTCAACTTTTAGCAATGTTATAGATGTTATAAAGCAGGTTGGCCTGGATGAACATCAAAATGTATTCACGTTGTTGTTGTTGAGCAACAATTACATTGGAATTGATGCATATCTGTGATTCTGTTCAGGGTGCATGTTTCCCATCTGTTTCCCGTCTCAATTCAAGGAGGCGGGTCTGACATTATCAGGTTCGGCCAAAAGTGATGTTGCTATTGTTTTCCACATCATCCACTGTTGCTTCCATCCGCACCACTGCAAGAACATCAGGAGAATGCATTTGCTGATTACAATTATAGGCTCAACACACGCAGAAATAATGTTGCTTTAGAGGTGCTGGTAGGCATGTTTTTGAAGTTTGTAGGGAGCAAGGCTTGCTGTTTCCCACTGCTGTTTGAGCGTCATGCAGCACAGCTGTGAGTGCTTATTGATGCTACCTTTTTTCTTTAACCATGACCTAAATCTCTTGCAAACTTTAGCTAAGCAGTTTTAGTTAACCAAACCAATGAGCTGGCAGAATATAAGAGTAATGTTTAGTTTATTTTTGAAACCACTGATAAACAGCTTTTTTCACCTTTTAACCTTTTGTTGTTTTAAAGTAGAGAAACTTGTAATCTGATAGAAAATATATAAATATATAAAATAGCAGATTCTTGAAAAAACGAGTCCAGTATAGACCCAACACACAACATAAATTGCATTGTTCATCATCTGATATATTGAATTTTTTTCTGTTCTTCAAATTGCAACTAATGAACCTGCAAGCGCTGCAAGGTGACACTGCAATAAAATGGGCTAAAAATATTTGTAATGATGGTAACTTAGGAAAATATAAAAGTTACGTCCAGTCAGAAAGAGTAATATAACGTTACAATCATGGGATATTACTTACCCTAACGTTACCTGTTACACACGTTAAACCATGTCACTAAAAATCTCAACCTGACTAAAAGTCAGACAACGTGCATAGCAGGACATGTAAAAAATGCTATCACTATAATATCAGTCTACAAGTTAACTCCGTTACCAATTTCGGCGACACCCAAAGTATTTCTGTGTCTCCATTTCAGAGTAACTGTGGTCTGTAATTAGTGTCCGTTTGAATAAAGTGCCTTTTAACGTCACCTTAACACTATAGCCTTGTTCGTGAAACAGTCCGTCGCCTAATTTGAATTACTGACTCGTTTTAATTAGTAATATGTGGGATGTTGGCTAATGGAAAAAATAGCTAACTAGCTAAAGTTAGTTGATAATTATTACAACAAGTGCAAGTTGGCTGGCTAGCTGACTGGACAAAAATGTTTGCAACGTTGGACTTATTGGATTTGACAATCAATGTCTCGATAATGGTGTGACACGATATCAACTGCACTCATAAAACATGTGCATACACTGATAACGGGAAGATGAGAACAGATGTAACTTTAGCCATTACAATCACGTTACAATCCAGGCTGCAGGTTGCTCTGAGTTAAGATGGCCGACAGCAGTCCGGTGTCACTTCCGCTTCTGAACGATTCCATTTCCCGAAATGTATATATAAACCAATATTATACATTTTAACGAATTGAATCTTGCTTGTTTCATAGTGTGCTATTTACAAACCATATTCATATGTTTTAACTGATTCAATTTAATTGTTTTCAAAATTAACAGATTCGTGCTGATTTTAAGGAATTTGAATAAATATATTTTTTTAAATTAAATCAAATTAAATAGATGAAAATACTTAATAATAAACTATGCCTTGATTTTGAGTGTAGGAGCAAGGACAACAAAGCTGGACAGATAAAGGTTAAAAAAATAGACAGGACTGTTATGTACACAAGTAGTAAAAAAGTTTTAAAAAAATAGTGTTAATATAAATATCATGTAAATAAGAAGCACAAATGACCAACAATATAATATGAAATAACACACCTATATATAAGTCAAGCATTCTGTAAGTTGTAAACAATACAAATAGTGCAAATAAATTACTACTGAATGGATTTACATAGGCTGGATAATTATGTAAATGTATGTATGGTCAAGTGTTCATTTTAAAAGTTGATATAGTTCTGAGGTTACCGATTCCTCGCATCATATTTACTGTAGAGATGTGGGAATGGTATCAATCTTATTTACTAACTCTCATCAAAAAAGCCATACGCATATTTCCCTAATATTGTAAACTATTCCTTTATCCAAAATAGGACCAGTGGTGTAGCACACCCACTGTGTAAGAATGTCCTCATTGAACCAATTAGTGTAAGTTTTAAAGCATGAACAAAGAGCCATTGCTTGATTTACTGTAAAGGACCCTGTAGTGTTCACTTATAGGAAGTTTACCCTTTTTTGCACGGCATTAGGCTTATCAATATGATTTTTGGAAACGTCAATGACGCCTTCCTCTTAGCTTTGTGACATCAGTGGCATCTGTGATTTCATATTAAAGAGCCAAACAGATTTCATTATGTAAAGGACAGAAACATTTTAAGGTCAAACCCTGACTCAGATTCCAAAGAATCTGTGAACACAAACATCTCCTCCTGCTGAGCCTGGTGACCTCGGATGCTGATTCACACTCTGTGTGTTATCGATTAGCATTAAGTACTTGACGGACACAAAGCCTAGTGTTCAATCTCCAAGTGTTACTTTTCAGTGTCTATACAGTGAGAAAAGGTAGGCACTGTCATACGTCCAGAAAGCCCTCTCAAATACAATGAAAAAGAGATTACTGTAAAGCTTGTTTACCTTCAGGGAACAAGAATCAGTGTTCTCGTTAATGACTTGCTGAAGAGTCTTTCGGGGCATCAGCTCTGACAGTCAGACAGATGTACCACCCATGGGGATGATCATTCAGATGCTGCCTTTGCATTTGATGTGTGATTCTTAATTCTAAAGACACCGTAAGCTAATTCAGTTAAGACCTTTGCCTGATAGTTCCACTTATTATTCAAATTACATCCAGGCTCTGCTCTCATCTGTCCTGATAAGATTGCTTGATAACTACCAGTTGGTCTTTTGCAGCATCTCCAAAGAAGCGTATATTCCTCCATCCATGCCAGCAGCATTATAGTCTATATAGAGCAGGTTGATCCATGGCTCACTATGTTTCTTGTACAATTGTGTAATAGCCAGTAAATTAACACGCTTCGTGGTTGCAGAGTTTGTAGAATGTTTTAGAAATTGTCATTTTATTGTTTGGTTTAAAATATAGTTTCTACATTTTTCTGCCATTTTCATTTGTATACATTTGAAAGATTACAACGCAGCGCTTACCCAAAGGTAGATTATAAAGCATATGACACGATAGTAAAAGGGTAATTGAATGATCTGCACTCATTTGAACTCAAGTTTTCGTCTCAAGAATCGTTAAAAGCTGATGATCAATTCTTGTTAGTCATGCGTGTGACTTTCTTGCCCTTACAGAGATCATTTACGCTGAGCAATTTAGTTCGAGCTCAGGGACTGTCATTAGAGAAAACTTGAGAATAGCAGGAGCACAGACCGATTAGCAATCAGTAGGAAGAGGTTAACTAAGTGAAACAAGCCAATTACATGAATTCAAACCTCGTTTGCCAAATGTCAGTTGGATAGTAGAGTTGACGAGCAAAAATGTCATCCACCGTGCCACAGTAGGTTGCCTATAACCCCGATGATGTGTGAGGAACATTTCTGCCTCTCCCATTTTGACCTTGAAAATGCTTTTGCAGGAATTTGCTTTGTTTTAGAATATCAGGGCTTTAAAGAGGTTTATTTCTATCCCTAGAGCTACAAGTATTATGAAACACTTTCCTCCCTCGATCTCTGATTTGAAAGACTGAGAATCCCTCCAGCTATAATCAGTATATTTAGTTATAACTTACAATTTCACTGATTCTACATTGGCAGAAAATGGCAAATTGGGAAAGGAAACAAGACTATACCAGTCTACAGCCATGCCAGCTGCTCTGTGAGGCTGGAGTCTACTGCATGTGAGCATGCTGAACTGACTTCAGCATGCTGATATTTAGCAAGTAATGTTGCATGTTAACCATCATACTTCAGACAGTGAGAGTTCAGAAAGGAGTCGGCACACTGAGAGTCAGTTCCCTGTATCTGTGTCATGGGTTTCGTCACTGCCCCGCCCCTTTAGCGAGTTAACAGCAGCTCCTGAGGCCTATCGATTATGACCGATTCTTTCATCGGGTAGCTTGTATTGTGTCCTTTTTGTTATAGACCATATTTGCTTTAGAGTATGCTAACATTTGCTAATTACATCTAAACACAAAGCTGAGGCTGATGGTAAAATTAGCTATCATTATTAATTTTTCACATTTTTGGTCATAAACCAAAGTACTGGACAATTTGAAGTTATGACCCTTTTTCTAGATTAAAAGTAGGGAACTACCAAAATTGCCACAATTCATCCTTATGGCGGGCATGCATTTCCAAATTTTTAAGCCATCGCTCAAAAGCTGTCGTGATATTTCGCTCAACCTCATGGCTGTGCTAGATGGAAAGTCAGGTAATCGCCAAAGTTATTGAGGTTCATTCTTTGGAGTGCATGGATATCTCTTCCAAAATGTATGGCAATCCATTTAATATTTTGAGGTATTGCAGTATGGACTATAGTGGTATACCGACCGATCATCCAACTTTACCATCACTACAACCACGTCTCGATCATGGATAAACGTTGTAAATCTGGTTTAAAAAAACAAAAAAACTGGTGACTCATGATAAGAACAACAGCACAGTAACTTTCCTCTCTCATCTCCTGCAGCTATGCCTTTCATCATCTCCATGCTGCTGGCCAGCCTCAACAGCTGCTGTAACCCCTGGATCTACATGTGCTTCGCTGGGCATCTGTTCCAGGATCTTAGGCAGAGCTTTCTGTGCTGTTCCGCTCGCTATCTCAAGTCATCCCAGTGCAGCTGTGAGCGTGACTTTGACTCCAGTCACAAGAGCAACTCCTCAACCTTTGCCATTAAAAGCACCAGCAGTCAGAGGAGCATCACGCAGACTTCCACCACATAAGCACCCGTCCTCCCTTGCCTTCTCTTTCTCGAGCTGCCCACCCTGCCTTTCACCAATGCAGTCGCCCATAAAATATCCAGCAGTTCAACTCCTTCAGTTACCTCTCGCCCCATGGATATGTAATTGTTAACTAGAAAGATGTACAGAATATAATTAAATGTGTGATATTTTATTCTTGAGGATGGACCAAGCTGAGCAATCACCTGAATCTTTTTGTTTTTTACATTATTCTTGTTTGAGATGTACAGTATATATATTTACATATTTGCAGTGCATAGAAAGTCAAGAAAAGCTAATATTTTTTAAACACTTTCAACCGTGGCTAACTTCATTACTGATTCAGTTGTTGTCACCAGCAAAGCTGGATCCTGTTTGTCCGTGTTATGATGAAATTGCTGACTGGTTATATAATGTGTACCATATTGTTCACATTCTTAAATTTGCGATGAATTGCATATATGTAAACTGTTATTGAGATATTGTTAGATGTGAGATGTCATGGCTGTCCCTGGTAAAGATTTTTTTAAATGCTTGAAAATAAAAATAAAGAGCAAAAGCAGCACAGATGGACTGACGTCCCTATTATTTACAGCTAGCTGATGCTCATTAGAGCTCCTATTGCCTCCCGAAAGCCTTGGCAAGGTTGCTGGGAAAGTTCCAGAGGGATGTTTGTCTGCGGTAAATCAATAACGTCACTGAGTTCCTGCAAAATTCTGGCAGCACATTGAAACTTTGAACTTCCTGTTCAGCCTCGGCCCAAAAATGCATTATTGGGTTGAGATGTGGAGACTGTGCAGACCACTGGAGTAACCTAAAGTTACTCATGTTTCTGAAGATATCTCGGGGCAACAATTGTTGCATGATATGGTGCAATATCCCACAGGAAGGGACAATGTAGGTAAACTGTGCCCATAGCATTCTTTGTAGCAAAGCCAATTAAGTCGGAGGCTGGTTTTAAGTCAGTTGTGTTTACGTTCTTTGTAAAAGATTCAAGCATAAGATCCGTCTTATATGAACCTTTGTTATTATAATTACAGCAAATCAATTTTCATTGTCAATAATGAAGAGTGACCTAAATATATGCAAAAGCAATAACAACGTATCCCGATATCTTGTCTCTCTCCCATCTTGCACTATGTATGTAATAATGGGTATATGTAATATAAAACAACACCACGAGCCTCAACTATTACTAGAGAACTATCGTTACAAGCTTTATACGGGTCAGTTACACTGCACAGGCGTTGCTATAATTGTATTACTGTGTGGATGGCAGTATTAGATTATGAACCAAAGTTATCATAATTTTAAAGTAATATTTATATTTAGGGGGAGTTAACTTCCCTTATAGCCTTGATAATGTGACCTTGTGTAAGATAAATATGCATCAGTGTCAAATATTATATTTGGAGGAATGATGTAGAATATAGAATATGTAGAGTATAAATCTTTTAAAGGTGACAATTGGCTTTAAAGACTTATCAGAGTGACTTTGCCATGCATTTTATGATCAGATTATTAGTAATTGTTCCATTTCTAGAGATCAATAAGTGTGCAGGGCAATTTGTGAAATAGAGTATGTCTGTAATTACACAAGTTTAATCAATCATTTTCAGAAGGCAAACAATAGATACATTTGCTGTATTGGTTGTAGTTTTATCCTGCACATTGATTACCTTTGTAGGTTTTGGGAAATCAATCACTCTTGCTCCTTAATTGCACTGGTTAAAACAGTTCATTAATCAGCTCAATGATTTCTGCTCATATACATTTTAACTGTGCATCTTCTAGCATAATAAAGGACAAATGAGTCGGCCAGACAGAAACACACTGCAGTGATGAACAAAGAAGGGTGTGGTGACACATCAATAATGGCTCCGAAACACACAACATCAGCCTCTAGTGGGTCACAGCTCCCAGGCCGACTCAAGTAGACCAACATATCACTGAAACACGGTTAAGATGTTTGGTGACTCTTAAAAATGTATTTCTTAAGCCTCTCAGAATTAATTGAAATAACACACATAATATACTTTCAATCATGCACTGAACCAGTGGTGCTTATTATAGGGACGGTTTCATCAATTGTAAAGTGTCTTTAGAATAGTTTCAGCTATGAATAATTAGCCGTTCTTTACTGCAGGTGCACAGTAGCAGCATAGGTTTTATACTTTTCTACATAATTAGAATAACACTGTGGAGCATTCCAATGGGTCTCATGGAAAATGTACTCTACTCCTTCAGTAGTTAGGTCCAGACTTGTTTACACCTACTTGACTGAAATGTGCATTAACTGATCACGCTTTGATAAAAGGAAGTAAATTATCTGCGTGTTTGGTTCCAAACATATTTCTTTCATCTGCAATCAATGCAAACTTTGGAGTCATGACAAATTACTAAATAATTTTGGAGAGAAAACATTTCAAATTTCTTTCTTTTTGTTAGAGCTTATCAAATAAGGTTACATGTATGAATGTCAAATCCTATTCAATCAATATCAAGTTAATTACCAGACACGGCAACATAGAGCATCGAAAGAACTTTTAAGAATGGCTAAATGTAATGTAATGCATACAGGCAGCATTGTCCACAGGTGCAGGTGTGTTAGGGAGTTCATTTCATCTGTTGTGATTGAGTAGCTATTGTCTTTGACTTATGTGATACAAATAAATGAGAGCAGACAGATCCTCATCATGGCAGGCGGTCCTCTTCTCCCTCAATGAGGAGCACTGAGCCCTGCAGGAGTGCTAGAGCTGTCACGGAACCACGCTGCTTGCTGCAGCTGTCACAGAGCGTCTGGTGGCAAAAGGCACACCGGGCATGTCAGGACAGAGCTTGAGGATGGGTGGGTGGGGAACAGCATGTTATGAAGGGAGAAGGAGGAGTATCGGGAAGTAAGCAAGATGCCAGGGCTGAGCTTCTGGTGTATAAAAAGATACCGCACTTCATCCGATCATACTATAAACGCTGCTTTGCCAGTTCTTAGACTTCTTTGCGCAGTGCAACACGCACACTGCTGAAGATCTTTCCTAGGGCTTCGAAGAAGGGATCACAGAAGGTCTGGATGCAGAGAGAGTAGATGCGGCTGATGCACTGTGACTCAATCAGACAGCTCTTGATGCAGGGAACCACAGCCCAGATGTGGCAGAAGGAGATGCATGCGAACAGGAAGCCCCAGAGCAGAGCAACAGGGATGCCAAAGACGGCAGACAAGATGCGGTAGCACCAGTACTTGGACACAGTAAAGGTGGTGTAGCTGAGCTTCCACACCCCATCCAGGCTGTGTGTACCATCAGGCTCTGCAATGATATCCTCAAAGTCCACCTAATAGGAAATTTAAAAGAGAGGTTGATTACTACACATCCCTGAGTGCACACCGCTTTTATCCATCTCCCTCTACCAGACCTCTGTGGGCTGTGAGTAATATGCACATGCCAATGTCAAGTATAAAGATTAAGCCTGTGAAAGCTGCAAAGTGTCTAAATTATGCAGAGAAACCAATTATGTGTCGCACATTATAGAAAAGAAAAATGTACAAAAAAAGTTATAGAGTGGCTTTTAATGCTGGATCCAAACTCTCTCAAAGCTAAGTGCACCTCATGTAAAATACAACAACAGAGAAACTGTACAATGGTCCAGGCTGTTTCTTTAGAAAATGTCTTCCAAATTGTAGGCTGAGAATCAGCTATAAAATGACATCATGACAGGTAGCTGCACTGAACACATAAAAGCCTTTCTTTTCTTCCAGACCACTGGATGCTATCAGTATGTAAGTAACGATTCGCCGTCCTTTTCCCGTAGAGATAGCAGCCTGAGATCATCCTTTGAATGAATGGCTGGACATGTACTGTTTTATATTTTCTCTGCAAGATCCGGCCACTTTCAGCTCTAGAGGGATTGCATCAGTGTTCTTTAGAAACAATAGATGGTCACCTAAAGCTGGTAAATCTGATAGATTCCCTGACTAGTTAGGGAGAATGTTTCAATTGATATTAATTCATTTTACTGGTAAGGCCAGAAAAGATAAGTTATGTTTGTAGAAAATTACTAAATTAAAATGTAAATGCTACACTACCACTCATTTTAAAACTGAGCCTGTAGACACTAAACATATACATTCCTCATAACTTTTGATTTACCATCTTCATTGACCATGTTTACATCAACCCAATCTAGTCAAACAAAATGTATTCTAAATGTGTACTCGGTCCTGTCCTTAGAGAAATATTTTGTAACGTTAGCATGGCAACAATCACAGGAGAAACAGTTGTCAAACCTAAATAAATCCCAGCAGCACAGTGTATCAGTTTCACGCTCTTCTACCCCATTCCCAAAATAAACTTTGGGTTCTGCACAGGCAACAGGAATAGCTCTTGGTCTATTTAAGGATTTCCCAGACGGTATGATAACATGTTCTCCTGTATTTTTTCCTACTAACCACTTTCTTTATTCTCTCCCTAAGTTTCAAAGACGGTGGTTATGTTCTTAGTCTTCTCTGTGGCAGGGTGGTGTCTCCATGCTGCACAAACCTTCACCACGTCCTCATTGATCTGCTTGGGATCTCTGTTAATTAGATCAATCTCCTTGGTGTGGCTGTCCTTCACAATCTTCTCCTCATTGGTGTTGAACTGGTACTGATCCGCCATGGTGAGGCTGCAGGTCGTAGACGGGCAGAAGACGGTGAGAGGAACCTTCCTGGATCAAACTGCACAGAGCCGCTTCGGTTCACTTCTGAACCCCTGTATCACCACTGTGACGCTCCCTGTTGCATGCCAGTGGACAGCTGCTGCAGCCGTCCTGGTAAAAATGGAAAAATGGACCCCCACCCTTCACACACATACCCACACACACACACACACGCACACACAGACAGTGGGCACACACACAATGTAATGCACACATACAGAAAAGGCATGCCTTAAAGGAGAACCCAGGGTTGTGTCACATTTCACATAGGGTTGTGGGGCTAACTGGGCTGGGTTTACACATTGGCATGAACTTCCACCACAGAGTGAGGCAGCAAGCACAAACACACCCTCCTGCTCTGGCTGTATTTGGGATACTGTTTTGCGTTCTAATAGTGAACTTATTTTGAAAAGAAAAAAAACATTTTTGCTTAAAGCTAAACTGCACAACAGAAGAGAGACAATATACTCAATGTTGCCAGGATAACAGTACTCCCTAATTTTAATGTATTAATTAATGTAATTAATTAATTAAGATTACTGTAATTTGTCATTCAGAAAGAGGAATGTGATTCACATTGAAAAACACTTCACAGAAGTAAAATCCATCAGCTCATCACCTTCGTCATACTTCATACTGTAAGTCAGGTGGTAAGGTCGTTAGAAGATATCACCTTTTTGTTGACATTATGCCAGTTTGGAAAACTCTACTGTACTTCTTCTGTCACTGTAACCCTACGGTTAAGTTTAATTACTGTGCTGCACTGATACATGTAATTATCTGAGTTTTTCTCATGGTTTGGTTTTATTTCTCAACATTGTTTTTATTTTTTTATTTGAGCCTATGTTATTTTGTAGTTTGATTTGGAGGGCATGTAAAAGAGCTGACATTAAAGAAAATTTAAGTCTGTCATTGGTGCTCTGAAGGAGGAACATTAAAATATAAAATGTGCTGTTGTATTCTAATGAACCCGTTTGCTTTCATAATCACAATCATAACAATAAAGTGGTTAAATGTTTCACAGTCTTAATTGTGCGCAATAGCGCGAGTTCACCCAAGTGGGGCCTGAGCCTCTTATTCAAGATATTTCTGATTTCAGCAAAGCCACAGATCAAATCCAGTAGTCCCCAAAAATAAACTCTGACTAGTCGTCCTTATGCTGTGCAGTTGTTGCTATCAGTCATAGCTTTCTATATCAGCAGGTCGCATAAACATACAGCGCGGTGCTGCCAAAAAGGGGGCGAAGAGGAGGAGGCACCTATGAAAGCTCTCACAGCATCCCAAGCACTCTGTTGCTATTTATCTCAGTCAGTAGGGTGTAACAGAACAGGAAGCGTGACTTCAGTGCATGGATTTCTTGCCCCGGTTCCCTGGTGGAAAAGACAGGGACAGAGGGAGAGAGGGGTGGAATGGGATCTGAGTGCATGTGATAGAGAGACAACCCAATTAGAGGAGTATGGAGTATTGAGGCCAGGCATGGAGGCAGAGGGACAGAAATAGATCAGCAAAGAGACATGGTGGGCATACCTCTGCCTCTATGGGCGTCAATGCACTCAGCTGAGACTGCACTGGCTCCTGTCTTTCATTTAATGTAGGCTCAGACCTATATTTAGAGCCATATAGAATGCAATGGCAAGAGTGGGTACTCGGGGCGGTTTATAAAACAGTGTAGTTTTACTTGACACATAAGCCTACAAAATTACTTTTATTATCTAAATGATGCTATACCACCAGCAGCCAGTTAGATTAGCATAGCATTAAGACTGGATCGGGGGCAAAAGTGAGTGTGGCTCTTTCCAAAGGCAGTCAAATCGATCTACCAACACCTCACGAATTATCTCAATATATCTAATTCATTAAAAAGCAATACGTGACACTCCAGAAAGTAACTTTACCTGACCAATAAATAGTACCACACATACTGTAACCCCAACCTGTTTCCTCCTGTTCCCAGTCTTTATGCTAAGCTAAGCTATGCTAAGCTAAATGGCTGCTGATAGGGTCATTCACACAGTAGAGAGAGATACTGTGTGTGAGATTGATCTTTTCATCTAACGTCAGCAACAAAATGTCAAACTATTCCATTCTTCACCTGTGCATGATCAGATGGAACGAACATTATTGACAGCCAATACGCTTGACTAGCCGTTCTTTACTCTTTCTGAAATCAAAGTAATGTCTGTGATACCTCACTAAAAATAAAGCTTTGTTTTCTTGCCTTTTAACACTTTATTGTAACCAGCTCATTTACTTAAATTTTGCCCTAGCACTTTGTAACAGTCTCTGAAAAGGGCTACATAATGTAAATACAGATATTGTCTGATCTCATGTTATGCTATGTACAGGTGCAGCAGCTGCCAGTTTTGCTCTGCCGGTGCATTATTAATAAGAAGTCTACTGCTTATGTGCACTTAAACTATGACCGTGAATATAAGAATTTGAAGTATGTGTGATGTATGATGCTATCCTGTTATTGAGTTAATGAGTTAAAAAGAGAGACATGTCATTTTCGTAGTTAATATATTTAATTAATAATCAAATTTCATGGTTAAAAAGGCTTAGAGTCATACATCAACATCATTACAAAAAGGACAAATTGGCATACATTATTATCAGTATGCCAAGTAAGCAATTATACAAAGAAATCACAGACAATTATGATGCAGATTATCATTTACCTGTATGGAATTAGAATGCAATCTGTAACGGCTTGGCTTGCTTTTTCTCAGTTTTCACCAAACGTTTACACACACAGTGTGTTTTCTATTTGTCTTCATCTTTTGCCAGATGGATGGTGATTCGACCACAGCTCTTTCCAATACTAATAAATATGGGGCTGATGAGAATGTTCAGTATGCTGCCCCACACAGTCTGAACCCAGAGCATGTTGATGAGAAGGAGCTGTACACAGGGCGTGATTAACCTGGAGAGATACAGGGAGGTGAAGAAAAACATGAGCTCATGTCCTAAAATGTAGAACTTCTTCTGCACTCCTAAAAACTGTTCTCATTGGGGGACAATGTGTAGTAGGGAAAAGGTTGAGTAACTATATCTAATTCAACTACCTACTGAATGATCCTTATTTACCAGAAAAAGCGTTTAGCAGTACACACACACACACACACAGGGACACTGTAAGTGGTTTCTTGGGACAGTTTTTCTCCATCATGCTAAATATAATGGTAAGAACAGGGGGATTGGATATGTAGGCATGGTGCAGGCAAATTAACTGCACAGAGACCTTTTTAATTGCAAACAATGTCATTTTTCATTACTTCTACTTTGCAGTTTAGGATCTTTTTGACAAGGGCAGATATAACTATATATATAACAGAACTGTGTGTATGATCGTGTCCACTTGAGGTCAGTATTATGCAGCATATTGATATATACCTCATTAAGTTTATAGTCCTTTATTACAAAATTGAAAGCCATTGTCCTAACATTTGTACTAACAGAAAGCTTTATTTCTAAAATGCATTTATACTCATCATCGTGACTTGTCTCCAAAAAGAAATCAGTTCACCACTAAATCAAACATAGATTTCTACATCAGTTCAGCTCTGCATTGGCAGTGTTACATAAGGGACTGATATGCAGAGCATGTGCAGCAGGTTTGTTTACTGAACCGTCAAGTTCTCTGTTTCTCCAAACAGAAAGGACGTACGTCATCTTGTGGCCTGCGCTGTGTTTGAAGGTTTACATGTATATTTTTTACGTGGATTAAACCCCACTGACTTGCGTCACTGTGGGTGGAATTCAGATCTTGAGATTGTACATTCACTTTGATCTCAATCAGTTCCATTGTTCTTGTGGCGTTTAATCCCTGGTCCTCCATTTCCACTAAGTTGTTCTGTGTCCTGGCTCTGTTGACGGCTGTGGTCATTGAAAATATGGCGGATGAGCAGGGCGTAGCAGGAGGATGGCTTACTTCTCTGCAGGCTTGACACTGACACCCAGATGTAACATAGTGGACTGCTGACTGCTTTGCTTCTTGTTGAGGAATGCCTTTATTGGCTTTTAAAGGCTTGTCTTCAGTGACATTTTCCATGTGACACACTACGTGGAAATTCTCATTTAGACCTGCATGAGAAATGGCCAATGGCCATCGCTAATCGACCTTTACTTCTTTTTCAAATGTTGAGTGACTAAATATGATCAGGGGAGTATTATGGCACTGTTATGGTTGTATAGTCGTCTCATCATGAAGACAGAGTTGGCTGTATTGATCCGTTAAGAACATAGTCCTTGGCACTTCAGCAGCTTCATTCAATAAGGTTTTTAAAGTGAATGTATTTAGCATTATGAACAGTGTTGTGAAGGACCGCTCATCACTTGTTGACTCCGGAGGAGAGACAACGAGTTGGATTGTAACATTAGTATATCTCCAGCAGCTGAAGTGAACTGCAGTCAATGGGCTGCGGCCTGTAAAGGCCCACTGCGGTCTACGTGCTCGACTCAGTCCACAGACCCTGAGGCAACGCCCCCGCTGGTAATAATATTGATTATTCTTATAATACAGTAAGTCTGAAGGATGTCTGTGACATAGGCCGTTGTCACACAGGGAGCCAGTGTAGATTTTTGGAGAAGAATGGTAAATTGGAAATATGCCAATAGTTGTTTTGGTCATTAGTGGGTCTGATTGTGGCAACTTTCAGTGAAGACAGAACTGTTCCAGTGGACAGAGTGAAGTTAATAATGAAGGTTATCAATGATATGATGATGGGCGTACTGTAATATTACTTTTTTATTGCGTGTTTTTTATGACATACTATGCTATGACTTTAATGACATTTTTTTTATTTATTGCATATTTTGTGACATACTGTACTGTGACTTTTTATGAAATATTATACTATGACTATAATACTGTGAACACACAAGCATGAATTAAATTAGTGGAGATATTCTGCCAGCGGAAAAAATATAAATTAGTATGGCAAACGTAGACAATTTGAGTTGCAATGGCAGAGTGTCACTCTTCCTAAGGCTAGCTGCTCGTGCTTGTTGAATCCAGTCAAGTGAAAAATAGTTCAGTTAGTACATCCAGCCTCCATGTAATGTTACTTAATCCAGCATTAAGCAGCTAAGTAAACGGCTGTCAATTAGCCACAGCGGGCTTTTACCCAGACTACATGCACGATTTATTACGCTGAGTCCCAAGGCCCCGCCCCCGCTTCTGCACAGAGTGCTTTTCGCTTGTTTATTCAAGGTTTATTAGTATCGAACGTGCTGCGTGTCCAAGTTGCACCACCTTGGACATTGCACGTCCTTGGGTTCCCACCCGCCAAGTGTAAAGTAGATCAGAGGAACGGTTTTCCAGATATGCAAAGGACATGCACATATAAACAGACAGAGATTCCTTGCCTTGTAGTTTCATGTGCTGCCTCGTGCTTTCGTCACGTGTGAGTATTGTATGTTTGGTTGGTTTTTCAACGCACGCATGTTATGTCTTCAAATTACTTCACGTTTTATGACACCAGGAGTATTTCTTTCACAACGCTGTCCCTCACTAAGCAGCCATAAAATCAAAAGGCAAATGGTTTCTTTTAACATCTGCCCTACCTCGTTACCAAGGCAAGTCTGACCTCTTACCTCACAGCAAGAAAATTGAAAGTGATCATACACACTGCACATTTCATATGTCTCAAGAATATGGATTGAGAATCAGGTTTATTTTAATGTAGATTTCCTCAATACAATGAATTTGCCTTGGTATTTGGTGCATGACAATAAACATATTATAGGAAGAGAAAATGAAAAAATCAAGCACTTCCAAATTCTACAACCATAAATATCAAATGTAGAAAATTATAGTAAAAAAATTAAAACAAATATGTAAACTATATCTCTTTTTAAAATGTAAAAGAAAACTTATTCAACAGGATGAAATGTGCAAAATATTGACCGAGGAGTGTGCAAAAGATAATAATAATCCAAAGGCAGCAGCAATCTGACGCCAATATTGTATGTGCCATGAAAAGAAAATGACCAGACACTTATCAGACAACACATAACCTATCTCACTGTTTGTTGAAACATCTAGAACTCTTCTTATCAGAAATATCCAAACAAAGACTAAGGAGGAGAATTCACTAGTATATAGCGCACTCTGTTGGCCATGGTTGGTCTTTTTAGAAAAAATAAAAATAAATCAGCATTTGTTTTTCACTGGCATGTGCCCAAATAGCTCATTTTCTCTCAGTGCTCTCTGCTTCCAATAATACCAAAGTGCTTGTGTTACCATTCGCAGCAGTAGTAGAGTCTGATTAGCTGTTAATTAATGCTGTGTGGAAACCGTGGTAATGAAGAGCACCCGATATTGTGTCAGAGATCTGTAGATCCTCAGTCTGTAGATCCTCAGTCTGTAGATCCTCTGTCTGTAGATCCTCAGTCTGTAGATCCTCAGTCTGTAGATCCTGTCTGTAGATCTTCTGTCTGTAGATCCTCTGTCTGTAGATCCTCCTTTGGATTTTGGATGATGTGATTTTTACAGATCATAAAAAGGTTCAGGCTGCCTTGCAGGAGTCTTATATGTTGTCTTTCAGTATTCATCCCAGATAAGGCGTGTGACTCGACTATGGAGTCAGTGCTTTTTCTTTTGTAGTTATTCAGCCTGAGATTACAATTTTTGTCTAACAGCCCTCTAGAGAAATATCTGGCTCAGTGGATGATCGTTGTTGTCTTCTGTGACTCGTACCATGTATAAACCACACTCGGGTCCTACACGTCTGGAATTAGATTTCTGTATGTTGTGAATAGCAATGTGATGGATTGTGATTGAAAAGTCATTCAGATAGGTCACAACAAGAGATATGATTGTCTAGACTGTGTCCTAATTTGTATTCATTGATGTTTGGTTTTTACAAATGCTTTATCTAGATCCAGTTGATGTTTAGTCCCAACCCTGTTTCTTTCATTGTATGGACATTCAAACCTCGGCGTGCACATTGTAGATGTTATGTACATAATGTCAGCAGCTGTCCTGAAGTCCTGAATGAATAATGTCAAATCTGCCTGCCGGTCTCATTGTTTAATGGCTCGACATTTATGAGGAGAAAATTAAATGAGAGGAGACAAAGAGAGAAACAAACACATGTATTGATACAAAATGCTCACAGCATGTTTCCGTGTTGTGTGTCAGTTTATGTACACACATCCTGGTGAGAGAGCGAGAGCAGGATTCACCGCAAAGTATTAAGTACGCAACCGCAGTTCTGTAAGAGCGGTGTACACTCCAGTTAGTTACAGCCATACAGCAAAATGGTGTTTGCAGTTATTTGCTTTGACCACCTTGTTCTTTATTTGCCATGACCGCTGTTTGTGAAAGACTAATGCAAACAGCAAAGGCCATAAAACAGCACTTTGTTACCACTCTCTGAGCATTATCAATGTCCAGTAGTGATTTCCATTGTAAATTCACCGTGTCTGCCTCACCGTATCCATACCACTATTATAGCCCTTCTCAACATATAGACATCGCATACTCAGTCTGCGTGTGACAAGCAGGCACAAGACAGCATTAGTAGATCAATCAATCAGATGTTAAAAGTTAAAGCACATCCAGTCTAAAGGTGCTTGTTGCTATGTGAGTCACAGGCTCACTCAATTTCCATGACGACAGCGGCAGATGACATTCACTGTCTTTTAGCATATCTGCTGCACACGGGAACTCTGAGTTGTTGTCCGTCAGCTTCATGGGAGCTTGTCACACAGCGCAGGCCACCGTGTTAGTTATTCCACTGCAGGGCTACATTTACCTCCAGTGCTTGACTGAATTCAACAGACTCAGACCCTGTTTGAATATACGGAGTTATTTACATGCAAAATACAGTGGAACCAACTCATGTTTGTATGGAATGCAAATTGCTCCTAATTACATACAGTTAAACATTAAAAATATCTATCATGACCGTTTCACATTTATAAACTAGCATTTTCTATGAACATTAAAATCAGGTCAATTGTAATATGAATGGAAAATATGCACAGGGGGACATTTATCACTATTTCAATATTTCTTACAACCATAGTACCTTGACGTATAGTAATAGGCAAAATGTACAGTATTTAAAGTATAGCGTCACATTTGCTCAAGTCCATCTTAAAACAATACTGATATGTCCGTATACGGATTGAACAAATTATTGGTTGCTGCAATTGTTCCAATTGTCCTCATTGGCAACTGAGAGATCCCTTAAAGCAGTTGTAATGTAAATGATGGCAGACAAAATCCGCAGTTCATGTTTCATGCAACAATAACAAAAAAGAAAGAAAGCTGAGTTATTCAAATCAAGTGTGGATTTTTGCAAAGAACAAAGATTTTGTCCTCCGTCACACTAAAAGAAGGAATCTCTTTGTGGCCAGTCTACGTAGGAGAAATGATTTACGTGACCAATAATCATTTCAATGTACACATGGGCATGTCAGTATTGTTTTAAGATAGACTTGTGATGTGAACCTATTCGTTAGGAAGAAATGACCCGCTTACAAAAATAACTGACACGGTCTACATTTTAGCACTGTGGTCCATAACTCATTTGGTCCGTGTCTAAGCGTGCTCCTCAGGTATTTGTCCAGGGATCTTTATGCCCGGATCCATAGTGTTTCTGGGACGGGAGTTGGCAGTGCTGGATGTGGTTTCAGCTGTGCTGGTGTTTCTCTGGATGAACTGGAGGAAGTTCTCCTGAAGGGAGCCCTCATGGCTGGATGTCCCAAACTCCGCCGGCTGGGTCAAGCAGCAGCGCCGGAACTTTACCAGTTCTTCTCTGATCTGCCTGTTCAAAAGGCCGTAGAAGAACGGGTTGACTGCAAAGGAGGAGTAGGCCAGCCAGGTGACTGCCTCCTCTAAATCTCCGGGGCTGTGCATGGAGCCAGTCAGGGACATTTGCAGGTGGAAGATGAAGTAGGGCAACCAACAAACAAAGAACTGACCCACAATGAACACCAAAGTAAGGGCAGCCTTTCCTCCACTGAAGGCCCTTTCTGGAGATAGTCTTTGTGGCAGAGTACGGGTGGTAGTGATCATGGTGGTCTGGCTGTTGATAGAGTCTGAGCGGTTCTTAGCAAGGCTTTCATTTGCCCACGTTGGCACAGCAGGGACTTGCTGCAGGGCTGCAGAACGAGCTACCTTGTACACGGAACAGTAAACAGCAAAGATAACCACTGCAGGAACCAGGAAACAAACCACACCGAAGAACACAGCGAATACACTTCTTAGACGACTGTGGCTCGCATGAAGAGAGCAGTGAGCTGCAGCAATAGAGCTCTGATGTCCATAAGCTGGCCATCCAAACAGCGTGATCAAAGCTAAGAGGACTGACTTGACCCAGATTAAAAGCATGACACCAATGGCGAGGTTGATGGTCATCTTGACTTCATAGCGCATGGGGTGTACGATGTAGAAGTAACGCTCCACACTGATGGCTGTGATCGTTAGAATGGAGAGACAGATGAGGAAAACGTTGAGAAAAATGTAAACCTGACACTCCAGAACAGTAAACACCACAGTGCCAAAAAACGCTGAGCTGGATATGATACCCAAAGGCATGAGGAGGATGGCACACAGCAGGTCCACTGCACAAAGGTGGCACACGAAAGCGAACCTCTTCAGGTGAGGAGCACGGGCAATGGCCACCATCACACCAGTGTTGGCCAACAAAGCAATGAGGTTAAGGGTCACCATGCAGAACAACCCAAAAAGGTCTTTGATCTGAGACTGGGAGCTTGTGACGACGCTCACACCGGCAGGAACTGTAGGATTGGTCTCCCATAGGGACGTGGTGAGATTAGTTGGTGAGTGAACCTGCACAGAGGCTATCATGGGACCAGTCTTATCTGCCATTATTCATTCAAAATCCTCCATTTGTATTTCAGATGTCTTTATATGTCCTGCGTTAAGGAGACAGAAAACAGTTATTTGAAAATATTTTAATTGCGTTTAACTATCCATTAGAAAAGCAATGTCCTTATAATATATACATATGTGACTGATAAATTAAAATGTGAATTAAAAAACTAATTGCAATTAAATTTCACCTGACTGCTGATTTCAAATTGGAAATGTGTTGCTTGCATGTTTTAAGTGTAAACAGATACACTTCTGGGTAAATTACAAAACCGTTTACAGGAAATACAGTAATGACGAGCCTTGTTTACGTGAAATCAGTATTAATATAGGAGAGATACTAGTCTGTCCTTTCTGAGTGCCAAACGCTGCCAATTTATAGGCAATTAAAGATTTAGGTGGCTAAAGGCCATCTTTAAAAGCTCTGAGTACATTGTTTATGCAGTTTCAAGACAAATATTTATACCATTTTACTCTGTCACAGTCTGTTCCAATTGATAAAGTTAAATCAATAAAGTTTGCTTTTTTTTTTTTTTTACAAAAAATAATATCTGACATGTATTCTATCCAGAGTGTGCTGATATCAATACCGGCATAACACAATGTGTGGTACAAAATTGATTGAAAATAAAATTGTCTAGGATAAACACATACAGCATAAAAAAAAACACTGATAATGCATAAATGTACTTACCCCATGATCTACTCTGTGTGTCAGTTCAGACCAAACAGGTTAACCAGGTGTTTGAATTTACAAAGCTCCAATTGAGATCCCACATGTTTAGATAGAGTAGGCCTGAACCAGCTTCAATTATTTTATTTTTCTCCAAAAAGTAAAATGTCAGTCCTCCAACTGTAAATCCAAATAATCAGATCCAGAGCACTCAGTGTCTGAGGTTCAGTTATTCTGTAGAGAGGCTACAGAGGTCCAGAGGTAAACATCCAGTTAAAGAAATATTGATTCCATGAGGACCTTTCATGATAAATGATGCTTCCTCTCTCTTCACCCCATCCTCCAATAACACTCTCATTCCTGTCCTGTGCTGTGTATGGCAGTGACTGTCACACATTGTATTGTGTGTGATTGTGTTTTTCTTTTCTTTTCTTTTTTTTTTTTGCTTTCAAATAGACACACACTCTACTGTCCCCCTTCCCAGAGCCCAATCCTCCCTGGGTCCTAATGTCTACCAGGTTAAGGGTGAGACTCATATTCACCCTGATGCAGCCAGCTCTGTCTCTTTGCATAAGTAGTATTATTTATATCAGAGAATCAAACTGCTCCACTGACAGTAAATAAGGGTTACTGTACATAGTATTCACTATCTTTATGACATACTATTGTGACATACTCTACTGTGACTTTTCCATGACATTCTCTGCTTTGACTATTTATGACCCTATACTATGAATCTTTAATTACTCCTTTTTTAAAAACAATACTATATTTTAAAGAAAATGATGACATCTTTTGACATACTATATTCTGGCTTTTTATGAAACAATATACTAAGGCTTTTTCATGACATTTTATAAAGCACTATAGTATGATTTTGTATAACAAAGGCCTACTATACTATGACTATTATAACTTTTCAATAAAAAAAAAAAAAAAGTATGACGCACTACTATGACTTTTTCTAAGACATAGACTATTAAAAAAAAGATTCCATCAACATATAAAGCCATGAGATTTTGTGTTTTATGTTATTTTGTCTTTGTGTGTCTATATTTCTTACAAACTGCACCCATCCCGCTAAAGGGTTTCAATTGAATACAGTTGATTATGCCTGATGCAAAAAACATTTTATGCCTCCATCAGTGAATCTCCTATAGTCAGGACATAAGGATGTGAAGTAAGGGGCTGTGTTGTTGCTCTTGCCTGTGGTATGCACTTTATGTCTGTTACTGCACTGTAATTATGTTTTTATTTGGCAGCCATGATGTCCTAGAAATGTTTTTCCTGAGTGACAAAAAAAAAATGAACATTGACCTCATTAGCCTGTAGAAAGTTTACCAGCATGTTTAAGACTATCTTATTTAAATGTTTCACACACAACCACAACCTTCTTTATTGATTTACTTGCAAATATGCAATACAACGTGTAGTACTAGGCTCCTAAAGTAGCAAGTATACAAAAGATTGAAGTCTTTAAGCTAAACATCCAAAAGGAAAAACATTGTAACAAGTTGAAGTGGAATTTAAAGTTTATTTATGAATTGTTGGTTCAAATAATGTCTTAGTGCAAAACTGTCGAGGCAATTACATTCCAAAGCGAGTTGCTCATTACTGACACCATATGGTGGCATTCATAGCATATAAGACACATAAGAGCCTCCGGGCAAGATTGACCAAGCTTTTCATGACGTACATGTTACATTACTTTGCATAGCAGAAGCACTTTCCTTACACATTAGATGTGCAACAAATAGCACTTTAAACTTCTAACTGTAAACATATCTATGCATAGAGTATCCTTTTACTTTTGGTCCACTATACCACATTAGTCAAAATGTCTTTAACTGCAATGACATGCGGTAAAGCCTTCCTACATGTCAAAGATATCTTCTCGTAGAGGGACAGATCTATAGAAGCGTTACCACTTGGATTAAATAATGCAGTATGTCAAAAGTAAGCTACTCAGACTAGAACTGAGTGACATTTGAAAACAAAACTGTGCAAATATCTAGAGGCATTTTAAACACTTAAAGAAAAAAACACATACATTAAGTCAGCAGTTATAATGGAAGTGCAGTCTATCGTGCTCAGGCAAGTTTTACAGTGTGCAAAATATAAGGCACAGAAAAGTCCTTTATGAATCATGGTAGGGACAGATGCACAATAACTGTAATTCTAAATAAAATGATCATATTAAATATAGATATATGAAACAGCACAGCCAAGCCTTTTAGAAGCACCTTATATAGAGGGAATGAGGAACTTTGCTTCTTTCCTTGAGTTGACTTACTACATGTTAAGCTCCAGCAGGTAGCGGAGGCGACACTGGCTCTCTTTATAGATGAGATATTCGCTGTTGTAGAAGTGGCTGTCTGAGAACTGGGGCTGATCTAAGGGCTTACCCTGAGGCACAGCAACCTTCTTGCCCTCAAGGGTGATGTAGATGTCCTGGGATGGATCTGAAAACATAGGATTTTGCATATTTACCCCCCCAAAAAAAGCTGTCACATTATATAATTTAACAAATTCAAATCAAGTACTTTTTTTTAACAATATTGGGGAAACAAAATGAGCAAAGATGATTTGTTTTGGAATGACATGATCTTGAACCTTAACGGTTTCTTTTTGCAAGTTGAGTTACTGTTGTGCAAATTAAAAATACAGCAGAAACAGCTTTTTCCCCCCACAGTTTCTGATAGACATGTGGCTCACTCAACATATTGTCGGTGAACTTGAGAGTGAGATTTATAAATTGTTTTGTAAGAGTAAAATTGAAGAAATATTGTACCTGGCTCCACTGATCCTCGTGCCACCACACTATCATAGCCTGCAGGAGCCTTTTTCAAGGAGCTGTTGTCTTTAGTGATGGTGCATTCTTTGCCGAGGGCTACTTCACTCAAAAACATCACTCCAGTGTTTTTAGAGGTGCGCACTTAAAATACATGGCAGAAAAATGGGACATTTTAAACATCATCTTATGGCTGTAATTGCAATCAATGTCATTATTATTTTCCTCTGCATTCCCTTTCTTTTCATACGTCCTCACCGTAACCTGCAGACTTGCTGTTTTCAGATGCAAAATAGATACCGCTACCAACACGGCCTCCTGAATGTGGCATTATCCTCAGACCGCTCTTCAGGATAGCTGCCACCACCGCTATGTTTGTGCCATGCCACAGCAGACGGCGGTTCTCCAGACCATCATTCTGGCTAAACCGTTCTCCCTGCAATGTGCAAAGCATGTGTTAGGTCACAGGACTTCGGTCTCCTGTATCACACTAAACAAGATTGACTCCAGTTCCTACCTCTGTCCCTCGATCAACGTCCCAAACATTGACAATTTTTGGTTTACGATAGCTACCTGAAGTCGCTTTCAGGTATTTTTCTATGATCTTTGAATGAGAAAAATATAGTATTGGTGAACAGGAGGACAACATGAATAGAAGATGATCTGACTGCTTTGTATTTACTGAACCATATTATTACTTTTGACACGGTACCTTGAATGTTTCTGAATCCTTGCTCGTTAGTTTGAGGCTGCATTTGAGAGAATTGTAGTCCTGGTCTAGAGGGTGAGGAACTATCTCTATCATCTCTTCCTGAGCCTTTTCAGTCTCTGACTTCAGATTCTGGGCAAGCTCGATGTCAGCCAGCACCTTTACAGAGCATGTAAAAGCAGAGTGACTCTATGACTGAGAAAACAGCATAGAAAGGCCGCTCATTCCCACATATTATCTAAAAAAAACATAAATTATTATTATCTTACCATAAGCATCTCTTTCTTCCTCTCCACAACCTCTTTGTCGTCGATTGTTGGCGGTCTGGTCCGGCCAAAGTTGTGTGGGATTGTGGTGAAGAACTTTGAGGAAAGTTCTTCCAGACGTTTCTTTCCGCTTTTTTTGTTCATTGCAGCCTCGATCTCCTCCAACACATCAAAGCCCTTCGCAATCTGGATTTTGCTGAGTTTACCCAGAGGCATCTTCTTGATATCTGTGTAACATCCACAAAAACAAGCAAAATAATAACACAAATCAGAATAGTTATTATGTTTTCTTTGTTTTTGTTCTTGTATTTTTCCTATTTCAAGGTGCAGATTGTTACTTTAATTACTTAAAAACATTAGAAAAAAAAATTCTTAGCAAAGCTGAAGACATGGACCAGCTATTCTGTTCAAAATGCTGAGATAAGGTTACGCAAATAAGAGTAAATGCAGACTTCACCCTCTCTTTGTGGCAATGATCAATCATTTACATGTCACATTCTGCACTCTTTGATCTCCAAGGAGCACTGAAATCAAGCTTCAACTACAAAAAGCAAAGAGAGTTCGGAATTAGCACCCCGTTTAGGGTTGCAACTAATGATTATTTTCATTGTCAATTAATCAGCAGATGATTTTCTCAATTAACCGATTAGTTGTTTGGTCTATAAAATGTCAGAAACAGGGAAATATGTTGATCAGTGTTTCCCAAAGCCCAGAATGATGTCCTCTAATGTTTTGTTTTGTCCACAATTCAAATATTTTCAGTTTGCTGTCAAAGAGGAGTAAAGAAACCAAAAATGTCCTCATTTAAGGAGCTGGAATCAGAGAATCTTGACTTCTTTCTCTTAAATACGTAAACCGATTATCAAAATAATTGCCGGTTGATTTAATAGTAAACAACTAATCGATTCATCTTTGCAGCTCTAATCCCATTTAGTGCAACAGGCATTCTAGCCCAGTGACCTTTTGCGGACTGCACAAACCTGTTTGTCTAATGGTTGGTAAACTGAGGCACACCCACCTAGGTTCATAAATTCCATTGCCTCCTTAAACATGTCATTGCTGAAAATGAGTTCGATGAGCTTCTTGGTAGAGTCGTCAAGGGTGCAGGCTTCTACATTTGTAGCGACTTTAACAGTCTTGCCATCGACAGTCTCCACCTAGAATATCAATAAAGTACAGCCAGTGAGATTTTGTTAGAGCCGATACCGAATATAAAACGATTTTCTCTGATGAAGACCGTCATGGACGGTGGTAACTAAGTCTATGAGATGATACTTCTAGGTTTCATATTCATTGCTCTTTGTTCCTGTGAGATGTACATGTGCGTTACCTTGACCTCAGCATCCTGCTCTCCATCCACCTCGATGAGGGTGTACTTCCCAGGGGAAGACACAAAATTCGACCGATCGCTCCAGTTGTTCTTGGTCTTGTCCTTGAACTTTTTCTCAAAGTCCTTGACAGCCTTCTCGGGCTCATTAAACTTGTTAAGTTTAGATTGTCCCACTTCCCCCTGAATTTAGAGTAGAGACAAGGCAATCTGCTGCATTTACCAGAATGAAACACACTCACAAGAGCTGAACAAGGATCCAGCTCGGACTCAAATAGATGTTTTCATCCCAGTGTACAAATACAGTCGTTGCTAATATTTCAAATATAATAAATAGCTATAAGCAATAAACAGAATTAAGTACAGCAGGTATTTTAGAAAGGAATGTGTTCCAGGACAAACTTACCACTCTACCCCATCTGTTCCATGTATAATAACTGTTGTTTTCTTTGACAACTTGAGCGACATAAAACTTATTATTGTTCTGTCCAATGTTGGTCTGATTGAGCATGCAGTCATAGTCCTCATGTACCTGGGGAAAACAATACAGAACAGTTTTCAAATTGTATCTTTCTCCTTAAGTATGATTGCATAACATTCTGCGATTTGTCCTCATGTAATTGAGTATATATGCTAATGTTATACAGCATTTCTCTTACCTCTGCGGAGCTTGTCAGTGAGCAGTACTCATCCACCTTCCTCTTGCCTTGTAGCTGTGGCCCTGCGGCCAGAAGGGCCTCTTTTGCAGAGGTGAATGCATCCTTGGGCTTTGGTGTCCCGGGCTCCTTTTTCACCTTCTTGCCACCTGCCTTGGCAGCAGAAGCAGCTCGTCTCTTTGGTGGCATGATCCTGGCAGAACACCCTGCAGAGAAACTTGCCATGTTAGTCATCTGGGCATGATGCCTGGACAAGTTCAGACATGCCGCCACTTAGCAGCGACCCCTATCTGGCTGTTACTCAAACACAAATGAACTCTCCATGCATGTACTTACTGGGTGATTACCAAGTTGTCACTATTTACTGCCACAAGTATTAGCAATTCACAACAATGCAAGTGTTGCTTTGATGTGGACCAAGGAAGCTATATAGTGACTCCCCAGTTTATCTTGAAGACGACCTCAATCGAAGCTGTAACTCACCTTTTAACTTGTAATAGTATCAGCCGGGCTGGGAGGGAGGGAGGAAAGTAGACGGAAAAGACAAACACCGTCTCCTCGCTGCTAAAGCTGTCACCGGGATGACGACAAGGGAGTAAACTGTCTGCCTCAGATTATCGGGAAGTTTACAGACACTTTACAGGCAGAGGAAGAGGCGGAGCTCCGCTGCATCCTGTATTTTGCTCTTCTTGCTGCTGCCGGTAAAGTCCAGCTACCGCCACCTAGCTTATTCCGTCATGTATTGGTCTTACAAAAAAACACAACAATAATAAGAATAGAAAAAGAATAACAGGAATAATTACAGTAATGATAAAATAGTGGCAATTTAGTTCATTCTCTATTTTGCCGCTCATGCAGTTTATTTCTTATTTTTACTCTTTTAAAAATTTAAAACGTTTTAAGAAAATTGAAGCATATTTTATACTTTTTTTAAATTTTTTTTACAGTAAGTTTATCGTGCTAACTAAATTCACACAAATAATCCGCAGTTCACAGTTGAGGATGTATGCTTTGGTATTTTAAAGAATAAGATCAATAATAAGAAAATAAATTGTTGTAACTTCATCTCGCCAGCAGTTGGCCACAAACAGATATGTTTAAACTATTATTCGTTAACTTCAAAGACATCCTATTGGATTGAGAGCCTACTAAAATGTTTACCTGCCCAGTTTAGTTCAAAGTTGTTGTTTTGCAGATTGAACAGTAAACTGAAAGGAGATATGACGATGGGGTCGCTATTGAGCAGAGTAACAGAATCAAAAGCGCGTGCTGTATCTGAAGATGAGAGAACAATGTTGTCTCTCAGGCTAAAAGAATACATCTTTGTTACACGTTATTCTTACATTCTAAATATTATGTCATACATAAGTATATTTATTGTAGGTCCCAAAAGGAATGAAGAAGGAAAAACTATTCTATGACCTTTTCTCTTCCTCTTCCTACTCTCATTGTAATCGCTGTTAATTCCAGTGTAAAGCTAAACTCCCTATATGGTGCCTCTTCTTCTTTAATAATAAACTTAATGTGCAGCTTTTTTTCTGTTAAATGCTCAAAAACACCAAAGAAGACAACTCAGAAGTGTGATTAATAATGCAAAGCTTGGTAGTGTTTGTGTTCAAAGTGCATCTTCAGCCTTTACATATAAAGGTTGACTTAGTAAGGTGGCGTTCACCTTTATACACAAGTTGATACTTTTGTTGTTACAATCACAGCAAGGAGTTGTTGCAGTACATTCAGTTCCTGGTTTATTTAATAACGGTAGTTTAATGATGGCCACTGAGCAGATCTAATAAGACAATGCTTTGACTATCTGTCCCCTTCCTCCATATGCAAATTCTCTATTTACAGCAAGCCCCAGGGCTGCCTACATGCTGCAAAGTGCAAGATGAAATCAAACCATGTGGACACAAGATGGCAGTGTTAAATCACAAATGCTGCACAAGCCTATTTTCCAAAGCATCTGCCTCATGTTGGTCCCAACTTCTGTGTGTGTCCTCAGACAGCTTTGGTGGATTTGATCCCATATCAGCAGATGATATTTGTGCTGGAAATGTTCATTAGAGACTGTTTGGTTTTACAGATGGTGTAGATTGAAGCTGATATATATTAGACAGCTCAGATTTCAAACCCAGACTGCGTCCAAAATGAATTTGCATTTCCATCATCATATATTTTGAGTAATCAAGGAACTTTACACAAGTCACACATGGCTTTCTATTAGGACTGTGGCTCAGGAGGTAGAGCAGAAGCTTCCACTCATCACACAGTTGATGGTTGGATCCCGGCTCCCTCTGTCCTCATGTTGAAGTGTCCTTGAGCAAGACGCTGAACCCCAAATTTACTCCTGATGGCAGCCATGGCAGCTCTGTCACCGTCATTGTACGAGTGGTGTGAATAGGTGAATGGGAGGCAAAGTAAAGACGTGGAAAGGGATTTGTGCTATGAGGTCGAAAAGCACTATGTGTGCAGTTAATTCAGTATATTACAGATATGTATCTGCTTGTAACAATGTCGAATGACAACATGTTTGGTAAATGTGTGCAATGGTTATTCCATTTTTCTTTTTCAGTGTCAGGATAAGCATCTCATGATGATGTGCAAATAAACAGTCAAACTATATAGGTCATTTTGGTATTAATAAAAAACACATTTTATTTACATAAATTACAAGAAAGCACAAACTGGTTCACCAAAGTCTACATTAAAAACGTCTTGTATATATTACATTTAACAGATTTACTATAATTTACTCCATTGTTGCATGTAGAATCTTCAATAAAAACGAGGGCTATATGCGAGTTTATTGGCATCTCATTTCAAATCGCTACGAGTCAAAGAACAAAATAAAATAATTGGGACATTGTACTCACAGCACTTCGAGGACAACAAAGTCAGGACGATCATCTGTATGACCTCTTTAATATCTGAGACACCTGATTCAGGACTAGTGATTATATATAACTCTGTTTACAATGCTTGGTAAAGGAACTCAGCTGACGTTCACAAGGAGGATGTTGTGGAGTCCACCACCTCTCGTCCGTTACACACTGTTGGAACAACATTGGAGGCTGATGCTGCAAAACGTTAAAAAAATAAGTTATTTTTGATTAAACAAACAACATAGCTACAGAATATAACATATTCCACATGGCCCTGCTAATCCTTTCTCACTGAGCTACTCTACTGCTTACAGATGAATCAGCAGTATGATAATCAAGTAATGAATTATATGAAATTAAGTTACGTGTGTTAACATCATAATTTCACTTAATTATTCTGAAACATTGTTTTTTTCCCCCCAATTTATGGAAATGAAAGAAAGATTCTGTATCTTATGTGGTGGAAATGTTCCAGCTGTTTGTTTAATGGAACAAAAGAGGCACAGACAACCGGTTCATCCCTTCTTTTGGTTTGCCTGATCTGAACCATTTAAGGTAAAGAGAATACAACGGCTAGTGTTAGAGGTGTGGCAGAAACACTGAAGTAGTTGTGAATGATGTCATAACGTCACATCTCAGTTTAGTTTTGAGTAATGTGTTACTGTTTTTGGCAATGAGCTTAGCAATGGCTGCAAAGATGCTGTTGTGCCTCAGGTGGTACCTTGAGAGAAAGTGGAGCCTGGGCCAGTGGTGACGCTGAAGCGGGTGGTGGCCACTCTGAGAGTGCAGACGTTCTTCTGCGGCTGGAACAGGATGATGTGGACCTTTGGAGCGAAGAGGCAGCCCAACACCACTGACCCACTCAGACTGACTGAGATGCACATGGTGGTTGTCTGCACCTGGGGAAGGAAAGAAAGGAGAGAATTTCACAGATGTTACTCAGTGATACTCAGTCATTTGTAACAGAAAAAGAAACACATTTCTAGATTGCCAGAATGTTGAAAGAATTCCTAATCACCATCAAAAGCACCTCCTAATTTCACACCAGTGCCAGCATTCATATATACACACAGCTCGAGTGTTAACATTGATATTTTCAGAGACATTTTTTGGGGGTAATTTAAGTGTTGGTTCATCCATAAAGCTGACAAGGCGCTGGCAGGGGGAGGTTCAAAACAACCAGAAGGTGTTAAAATAACTCTACTGGCATATAAGCATTGGATCAGGCTGAGGGCCATTTTGCTCTACAACAACATTCATTTATATTAGAAAGGGGCTCAGTAGTCAGAAAATAATTAATTGAGATGAAAGACATCTTTTGTATTTCAGAATAAAAGTCAGGTGCAACAGAGGAGGAAGGAGCTGGCTAACAGCTGGGATTGCTAAAGAGAGGTGTTAAACGATCTTCTTATTTCCCTGTCAATCAACTGCTTAACTTTCCCTCCTGTATCCCCTCACTCGCCCACATCTTGCCATGTGTCACTGGTCTGCTCTTTCATTTCCAGTCTCCGCACAGATTTCTTTTTTCTTTTCTTGGATAACAGGATACAGCCCAGCCTCGTGTGGCGTGTAGCAGGTGCATCCTATTTTCACAAGGCACAGCAGGTGTCTGTTTTCACCCTGAATGATAATGCTAGTATTAAAATAATGTGGGCACCAAGTATTGCACTGTGCACACTGTATAAACACCCATTACTTTAGGCAGGCATGTAAGTGACACAAAGTGAGTTTATCAATTTCTTTTTAAAGAATATTGTTTAATTATCTTATATAAATGTTTATAAATGTCTTACTCTCTTGCAATACATAATTACTAGTTACTGTAATATTATTCAACAATAGATGACACATTATATGAATATAGGGACTAACTGATTTATAGATAATTATTTAATATTCATATAGTTGATAAAATAGTTTGCAACATAGCGGTCACTGACTGACTGTTGTAGTGTACCATGTAAATATGAAACAAGTACATCACTGAATTAATCTCTGTATTTTGACATGTATTGGAGGTTGCCATGTGCAATAAATTCAATATTAAAATACACCTCATGTCACCTCTGAAATACAGCACACACACTAATGCGTTTAAGTCCTGTGTTGAGATGTTAATTTAAATAAATCGACCATTAACTCTTTTTCTTTACTGTCTATCTGACCTGTATATTGGATACGTGGAATAGTGGTAATATACAAAGGAAAAGTGACAGTTAGTGCCTGATAATCTGAGCATCAGACTCCTCTACTTAATTCAGAAATTGTTTTGAATAAAACTGGGGACAGAGCTGCATCGGAATGACCTGTTAAGTGATTTTAATAATTCACAAGATGTTGCTTTGGAAGAGCAGAGGACAAGGAATCTGCCTTTGCAGTAATATTTCTCGAGATGAGTGTGGAGAACAGGATGCAGAGCATAGCTACTATGGTCTCTGCTTGTTCCTGTTCACTCTTTTACTATATTTTACGAATACAGCACTGCTGCTTCAGATATAAATAATGTCTGCTGTTTTCAGGTAGCTTTATTCCTCCAGAGAACCTCACAGTGGAGATGAGATTCCTCTTTTTATTGGGCTTCGTGCTGTACCCATATTGAAAAGCTTTATTTGATGATACATCAACAAGTCAGCCTTGGTAGGTCGACATGGACGTTGAATTGATAAAACCCACAAATCATTCACTGATGTAAACCAGAATGGGATTTGCTGAGAAGTGTAATGATGTTGTTAATCTGTGATTAGACATATGAGTGAGGTTAATGAGCATGTATTGTAAGAAAAAAAAAAAAGAATACTTGATTCCCACTGTTTCATAAGCTGGTCTAGATAATGTGCCGCTCTAATTGTATTTCCTCCACTAATGCACTAATGCTAGATTTATTCCTGTATATTCTGTAGAGCGGGACCTCCTGGTTTAACTCCTTTGTTTAACACCATGAGAGATGATACTGGCACTAAAACAAAAACTGAAATACTCAATGCTAAGTCAAAAGAGTTTAACTGAAGGAGATTGAAAATGATTTCGGAAAGGTTGGTTCCCAGACAGATGTTGAAAGGATCTGTTAATGTGACAGGCAGCGGTTGTACAGATCACAGGCAATACTTTTCTGTATTTTCGTAGTGTTTGTAGCCTTCAGTGTTTTTGTAGAAGTGCTGTGTGTTTAATCAGTTGTGTTTATTGCTGAGATGAGATGACCAGCGCTGGCATATGAGGAGAGCCCTCTCCCTTAGGGTGCATAGAACATCTTCAATATTTCATATGATAATCAAATGTGTTATTCATGGCTCTGTAGTATTTAGTTTACTTTAACATTTCATGACAGACCACAATCAAATCTGTATCTGTTATTCAGCTGGAGATTTGCATCAGAAGTGGTGTAAAACTAGGAGAACACAAGAGATTTGTCCCTCCCAGTGAAAAACTAGAGACACTGTGCCAAGTCAGTGGCTTCAGTAATTATTTATCGGTCAAAGGGGAGCTCTGCGTCTAACTGATGAGCCCATTCTGGCTGTGAATTGCTCTCGTTGCCTAGAGGGCCTGGAGGAAGGGTTCCTCTGAGCCTCACTGGAGTCCCAGGACAGAGGGCACAGCTGGGACTCAGCATCCCAGTCTTTCACACTCCATTCCACACAGCTACGCACAGGGACACACGGGGACGTTCAGTCCTCATGGTCTTGCGTTCCTGCTCCATGTTTCTGCAGAGGCAGATGTGTCAGGGGATTCCTCTGTCTATTTCTCCCTTCTGCCTCTCTCTCGCTGTTGACATCCCAGAGGAATAAATGCCCACGACTCAGGCCACCCTTTTCTCTGAAGTTCCATCACTTCACTGTACAGCATATTACTGTGTCTACAGATCACCATCAGCATTCATTCAGCACGCAGGGTCAGAGACTGAACCCTATCTATCTATCTATCCATCCATCTAATGTTTTTTTCCTCATAAGTAAGTCAGTGTGGATTGGTACTAGGGGAGATTTACCTTTACGTAAATTAGATGCACTATTGTGGGTGGAGTAGTTTCAAATAAATTATTTCCAGGCTTACTTTAAGTTTAGTTGCAAAAATGCACATGGTGAAGGGATACAATTACTTCCTGTGAAGGAGCTGCTGTGTCTTCCCTCCATTTCACTTGTTCATTTTAACCAATGATTGACTGTTAATGTGTCATTTGTTCCTAGAAAACCTAGAATACGTGTTGTCAAAACACTGCGTAAATTATACCACCACCAGAGCAGGGTTGTTGTTGTGGGGAGACTAAGACATTAGGCGGGCTGTTACACTTCTCCATGACTTGAGCATCCATATTTTATAATTTACTCTCACTGCATTAATATTTAAACTTTAAAGGTAAAATAAGGCTGTTAAAGTTGCTATCTGGGGAGCACCTGAAAATCTTTACTATGCAGGTAATTATGAAGTATTAAAGCAATGCAGTAATAGAGAATATATATTTCAAAGAGCCGTGGGCAAAACAGACACGGCTGACTGCTGAATCAATACTAGCTGACATTAGTTTGTGATTTCATGCATACAAAATCAAATTGAACACCAGAAGAAGTCATTATCTGCTAGGATAGTCTTCTCAGATTGAGACCCTAAAGCTATTCGAACAAAAGTTGTTGTGCAAATTAACATTTCATTGATATGAGAAACGTGTTGTGATTATTATGTGCTCACTCGTGAAACAGGTGTAACTTAACTCACCCTGTAGTCACTGGCAGTAACGTAGAAGATAGGCTGGAAAGCCAGCCAGATGATGCAGGTGGTGTACATGGTGAACCCAATGAACTTGGCCTCGTTGAAATTCTCGGGGCATTTGCGGGTCTTGAAGGCGTAGACAGTGCAGAGGATAATGAGGATGCAGTTGTAGGTGAGTGACATGAGCATGCTGGAATCCTTGCTGTTACACTTGAGGGTGACCACGTCTCTCCTCTCCGGGCTCACTTCCTTTCTCACCCCTGGGGTCTCCACCAGCAACCAGACCACCACCACCACCAGTTGGCAGGAGATCAGACCACCACAGATGGCAACCTGGGAGGCCGGGCTGATGAATCGAGGCCGCTGTGCTCCATCCTTCACCCCGCTGAAGATCCGAGCAATGCGATTGGTCTTGGTTAGGAGGGCTGAGTAGCACACAGCAAACGAGGTGCCTAAGCCTAGCCGACGCAGTGTACAAACTGCCGTGGACGGTTTGGCAATGTAGATGAAGGTCATGCTATAACACATCAACACTCCCAGCAGCAGAATGTAGGAGAGCTCACGGCCACTGGCCTTCACCACGGGTGTCTCATTGTGTTTAAGGAAGAGGCCAATGACGAAGAGCGTACACATCATCCCGAGAAACGAAATGGTGACGGGTCCAATGGCCCAGGCATCTTCCCAGCGGATGTACTCCTCAGGCAGATCATAACAGCCTGTCAGGTTGGCCAGGGGCCACTGTCCAAAGCTGCAGTCAGCACAGGTGAACTCATCCTGCAAATACTGGTAGGACTGACACGGGATACAGATCCAGCAGCACACATCTCCAGGCTGCATACTCTTCACCTCGTTCTTCCTGCAGGGGTCACTACACTGGGAGGTTGGGGGAACCTGCCCAGCCCAGGGGATCTGGCTGGTGTTCAGGATCAAGCTCTGAGCCCAGTAGCCGACATTACGGTAGACATAGCGTCCATCTTCTTTGTGGTAGTGGAAAATATTGTAACGGCCGAGGCTGTCACCGAAGGCATCAAAGCGGACTACATTCTCGGTGTCTGGTGGACGAAATGGCGCTGAAGGTGAAGAGAAAACAAGAGATTGTAAGACAATACCAGATATAAGGGGGTCATTGTATAGCAAGTGCAACTACAATATAAAAACTCAAAGTAAAAGCAGAAATATCAACATTTGTTAAATTTGGGACATACTGTTTTGGAGTGACAGGACTGTGGACTATAGAAACAGAATAGGAGTAGGACATTAAAATGTTTTACGTGGTAATTTGACTCGTTCAAAAGAAAATGGCGATTGCTGTTTATTTTTATGATCACAACACACATCGGTTGGGGCATAAAGTGTTGTTGCAGCTCGCCGGGATGAGAGTAGACGCAGCTCCAGAGAAGAATGGCCGGAGAGTTAGCTAGTAGCTTCCGGAGCTACAGAGATTGAAGCAGAGGTACCGATAGACCCAGCAACCCACTAACCAGCTGCTGTGCTCATTTTCTGTAACCAGTGTAGTGTTAAAGCACAGCGGATTTAGCAAGCTAGCTAACTAGCGGACTGCAGGCTAGTTTGATAACTCCACTATTTGCTTTTTGCAACCACAAGTGACATGAGAGGGTGGAAAACATGGACAACTCCCAGACGAGACAACTCTGTGATAGCGACCTGTCAATCACAAGGTAGCCATGCACTAAAGCGTACTCTGCTTTATTGTCTATTTTACTCGGGATCCTAATTGAATAAATGAACATCATGCTGTATTGAAGAAGACTTGAAAACTAGCGATTGAGACCATATACTCCTGTTTACCATGGTAATGAATTAAGTGAGCAGTAGAATCATTTTTTTCATAGATTTCTATTCAATCAGACTTCTTTTGAGTAGTGAGTAGTCTCTCCCTTATGGTATAGTAATACAAGTTGAGGGCACATCCGTATTGGCTACACTTTTCAGACCTGAAGGTTGCCACCTAGTTGCAATGTCAACGGTACACGTAAAAAAAGCCACTGCTCTGACAATATATACATTCATGATCATATATGATAATACAGTCATTACATTTACTTTCATTTGTTAAGAAAAAATGATTTCTGCATACGTTTAGGATATAGTGCCAAAAGAGCTGCAACTGACAATTATTTTAGTTATTGCTTAATGTGCTGATCACTTTCTCAATGCATTGAATTTTAAAGAATAGTGAAAAATCCAATCCAATCTGACATTCAGATTTACTATAATATGTGGAAAAAACTAAAATATCAAATCTTGAATTTTGAGAAGCTGAAACCAAAAAAATGATTGGAACAATTAATCAATTATTAAAATTTATTTTATATGAATTGGTACAATTAATCGAAATTGATATAACCTAATTTAGCAGCATGAGCAGGCCTGCACTTGGGGTAATTAACTTATATTATATTGAGGCTTTATACAGATGACAGAAGAACAACAAAAAAACAGGAAACATGAATATTCATATCTGTTAAGCAACACTGTAATAATACTAGTTCATTAAGATTTTACTCACCCTCAAACTTGACCTTGAGAATGTAGTCCCTGTAAAACTTCCTGCCGTTGCCAGGTTTAAGAGCCTCACACACCTTGGTGGAGTTTGGGCATAACGCCTGTCTCATGTTATGTAAGGCAGCAGCCATTGCATAGACAGCATTCACTACAAACATGATCTTGGATTCTGGCTGAAACTGAGCCTCGCGCAGTGAGTGCTTCCCACAGCCCAGATCATGGAGGTTGCATTGGAACTGGTTTTCCCAATACTCTCTGAACCAGGGATTCCTGGTGTTGTTATACGGGTGCAGGGCAGTGAAGTAGTCATTAAACTGGGGGATCGGATAGGAAGCCAGTTCGATGGTGAACGCCCCGTCGGCCACAGCCTCACTGCCTCTCACCACACTCTCCTGCGCTCCCCAGCCATCACTGGCCACCCAGGTGAAGGAGACATTCATGCGGTTGGCTGCCACCAGCAGCTCGCGGGCGTCTTCGCTGCGCGTGAACAGGATGACCACCTTGGCGTTGGACTTCTGCTGCAGGGAGCGGATCACGTTCTCGTAACTCCAGCGGCTCATGGAGCGGCTCACCTTGGCGGAAGTGGCAATGCAGATCTGGCGGGCACGAGCCTCCTGCTGGAAGGCGTCAATGCCAGTCTCACCATAGTCCCCTTCTGAGGCCACCGTCGATACGTACGTCCAGTTGAAGTGACGCAGGATATCTGCCATGGCCTTGGCCTGGTAGAAGTCAGGGGGCACGGTGCGGGCAAAGAAGTCATAGCGGGTCTTGTCGCTGAGCTTGGCACTGGTGGAGGCATAGCTGATCTGAGGGATTTGGAAGAGTCGCAACAGGTTGGCCACCTGGAATAAGCAAAAGACACTATAATGATTATGTTTGGATCAGTCCTCACATGGTATCAATAAACCGCCAAGGGTACTGTACGTTTTAATATGCATACCATTATGAAATATTAGTTGGAAAACTGGCAGTTTCCCACAGAAAGTATACATCTGTCAACTGTGGGATTTTTTAAATTGCTTATCATTTTATAAATTAATATAATTGGCTACCCATGTGTTTTTCCCTGGCAGATGCAATTAGTCTCACCCCATTCAGTCTCTAATTTCTTCACTGGATCCGTGCTGGGTCTTTCACAACTTAACTCTCCTGCTAACTGAGTGGCAAGATCCTGCATTTAACAATTATTGGGATTGCCAATTTACTGTTCTACGAAAATGAACGCATTTTCAGGAAGGTCTTGCTCTGCTTTGGAGAGGAGAGAGAAGTGGCAGGCAGAGACAGAGAGTGGTTGAGGGCAGGGATTTGAAAGTGAAAGGAAGTCAAAGTATCAAAGAATCTTGAAACTTTGCATTTTCTGTGTAATCGGTTTTGTCAGTGTCGGGACACTGCGCACAGTGTGCAGAAGCAGATTTTGCTTCAGGCACTTCTGTGGAAGCCTGAGGGTGAGCCGGTCTGATCATTAAAAAGGATGCCAACCTAAATGTGGTTGACTTTAATGCCAGCTCTCACACCAGCACATTCATGGCACAGCATCTTGAATACCAATGCATCATTTCTGAGAAAATCAAAGAGGAAATTCGCATTCAAATGCAGTTTAATTCATCAGTTTAATTTACTGCCCAGAATACACTTTTACATTAGAACGTGCTATTTTAGTGGTATGTTAAAAAAAAAAGAAGGTAATTCCATCTTCTCTCTTTTACCCAAATACTTTTCTAATTGTTATAATAATGTATTACTACAAATTATTCAGTTGTATAGGAGAAGAGTGTGTGAACTGTTTACAAGAAGCCTTTTCATTTATTTCAAGGCAGATCAACCCTTCCAGGACAATGTTATAAGGCCCACCATCTCAGTTATATCTGTGTCTTGAAAATCAGCCAGCAGTTTCTAAATTTTTGGAACTGTAATATAAGTGTCAGTTTATATGATTATACCTCACCTTATTTGTATGATGTATGATGAATAGTGTGTCTGAAATACCTTTTATATATTTCTCTCTCTAATATATATGATGTAAAAAAGTTCTTAAAAGCCACACACAGCTATTTAAACAAGTTCTTCTGGCAGCCTGTGCAAATTGCAGATGTCACAAAACTGCTAAATTATTTGATTTGAAGGGAGTGCTGACTAACAGCTAACATATTTCAAATACAAACCAAATGCACCACACAAACAGACAGGTCAAGCAGGATAAACAGACACTTCATTGAAAAACAGAGCAGTACACTGACATATCACAATAAAGCTTGTGTGATATGCCTCGTTGGATATTAATCATGTGGTCTTTTTTATTCTGCAGGGTCAGAGAGATGAATATTAAATGAGCCAATGGACCACTAGATTTATTGGAATTAATGTGAGAGGCCGTTTCACAGAAAAATTAAATGCAACAGCACAATCAAGCTGGACTCAGGTTTTTTTTTACCACCACCCAAACAATGTCAGAGAAAATGTTGAACAAAATTACCAGTTCGACATAAGAGATATTGCTTACTCGCCCGTGGCGGAGCAACTGAAGACGAAATGGAAATCGAGATTGTTGAAACACATGAGTGAGCATTTCATATCAGTTAGAAGGTTGCCTTCCCCTGAGATTTTCAGGTCAGCTGGAGAAACCCTGATTATGCAGATAAGCTAATAACCACATTTCTACATAAACCTGCCCCCCTTTCTTAAAATGCCTTGACAGCCTTTCTCAACATATGGCGAAACAGCTGGCAGCAGCAAATTCACACTCTTAGGAAGAAATCAGAATATGATCTAAAGTGGCATGTAAACACTATATGATTAATCATTTTCACGTCACTCAATTCTATGTTAAAAAGTGCTAAACCAATTCCCGGTCTGATCATTTATCACAAGGGTTTTCTTTATAATTCCCTCTGACTGCATGTGAATACTTTTCATACCAAAAGATGTTTAATATTGTGGCCAGTCCATGTCTTGGATTTAATTGTGTGAACTTCAAGTGAACTAAACTATTCTTTGCTTTCAACATCCACAAATATGTCACACAACAAAGCATTCAACAACTCTCACATAGACACTATAATAGAAGAATGGATGAGAAAAAAGGGTAAAAAGGGGATTCATTCTATCATCATGTCATTCCAAAAAATGCCAAAAATATTTTCTTTAATTTCTCATCTGACTTCAAATTATGTTCAGAAAATAGAAAGTATTATGTTTGAGGAGCTTTGCCTCAATAGGATAAAAGTTCTTAAGTCGGAGTTAAAAATCAGAAATATCTTTTCCTTTTAACTATAAATAAAGAATAAAAATAAAAAGACATGAAATACTCTGTTGCAAGCATTCAATCACTTACTTAAGTAAAAGTACAAAAGTATCGGCATAAAAATATGCTTAAAAGTACCAAAAGTAAAAGTATTCATAATGCAGAATGGCCCATTTCAGAATAATATATATTATATTATTGGATTATCATTATTGATGTATTAATGTGTTCATCACTTTAATGTTGCAGCCGGTAAAGGTGGAGCTCATTTTAATTACTTTATATACTGCTGTGTAATTTGATCTATAATGATAAATCTTCATTTATTAGCTGGTATACTTTATGTTAATAATCTAAATGTGCAAAGTAACTTAATTTATCGGATAAATCTGGTGGAGTAAAAAGAAGATTTAGAAGAGAAGAAGTATGAAGTGACATTACATGGAAATACTCAAGTAAAGTACAAGTACCTCAACATTGTAATTAAGTGAAGTACTTTAATCATTATCACCTTAAATGATGGCTAGAAACATGTGCTAACACACAAACAGATCTGGTAGAGATCATTTCCAGCCTGATACATCTGCTTGAGGATGATTAATTAGATGCTGACTGAACAGTGAGAGGTTTTAAATAAGTTATCACAACTTCCTAAAATTGCTGTGGTTGACATTTTGTTCACTTTAAGGAGGGCGGACACATGGCTGCCGTTGGTATGGTTTAAAACAAAGGCAAGTCGGAAAGGCTGAGAGGGCTCCTGTAGGGAAGATACAAGAGGTTCTGGTGGGATTTGAATCCAGGCCAGTGAGAGTGCATGTGATACTTAAGCTGAAGGTCTTAACCATCTCAGTGCGTTAAGTCTGTCTAGACAAAGAAGGCACAGAACACATGTTCTGCAGATGCATTACCATATCCGCAGATGCACATGTAAGTTGAGGTACAACTTAGCATTAAACATTCAAAGCAGAAGGACTAGACAAACGGAATTATCTGGCCTAGTTGTGTTTATATGATAATTTTTACAACACAGGTACAAAAGTAAAAAAAAAGAACAACTCAATTTTGCTGAAATGTGGCTGTGCTCACAGAGGTAAATGAGTAATTTCTCTTCAGGGTATTAAGGGAGCTCAATGCCAGTTTAGTAATCCACTTACATGTGGTTTATGGAGGTTACACTGGAGGGCACAGTGCCATGTCACCAATACAACGGGCTTATTGGAAATCATTATATAGATGGGCACATGGCTTATATGAAAAGCCACGACCCTGCCACCTGCCAAAGCCTGTGACTGACACATTGTGAGTGTAGATACCAGATATCAGGAAGCAGATATGAAGATATGGATTCCATAACCAAGACAGTGACCATGTTCTTCTTTTCCACCACTCATGATCGTATATGATCTCTGTCATTGTCATAACTCATAGGCTTATTGTTTGCCATGGAGGAGTGATGCACCTTTACCCAGGGACACCCTGGATATAGTTACAACTGCACGAGGATCCTCACTCAAGAATAGCAACTGTAACGGGTTCAAAGGAGCACAAAAGTCTTGGAGCTTAAGATACTAGAGGACAAGAAGAGCTTGAGGAATAAATCGCATGATATCAGAAAAGCTGAGCCAAAAGAGGGAGAGGTGTGCAATGCTTTAAGGGTTTATATCCTGCAAACATTGCCATTCTGCAATTTGCGCTCAGGGGGTTGTTGTGTCTTCCTGCCTACAGCTGCAGGTTTTAAGGAGGCTGTCAGAATATGTTTCTTGATTTGCAAACCTCATAGCTATGCATGTATAAAGAGGGAGACAGCCTAAACTTTAGTTATAGTTAATTTAGCAATCGCAAGTACATTTTGTTATTTCACCTGCTGACAGTCAATGTCTTACATTATCAGTTACTACAAAAGGCACTCATATGACATGTATGTTATAGTTGTTAATTAATTCACTCCATTTGCAACCTGTAACATAATAATTCAGTAAGATGGTTTAGTGTCAGTTACTGATTTATGTATAAGAACTCATTTTTTTATCCTTAGTTTGAGTACCTTTGTGATATTGTTTGTTTATTTAATGTGTACAGTACTTAAAAGACCCAAACAGTAAGTATTTTTTGATCTTTCTCATTACAAAGGAAGGACAATGGAGCTTTACAGATATAGAATTAACCATAAGTGGATTCTGAACACCAACAGATTCCCAAAAATCTCATTCCACCTTCTAGGAATTGTTGATTATTGATTCTTTCTAGAAAGGCTGAACTGCAAGTGTGTGTTAAAATGTCACTGTTAGCCACACGGTATTGCTTACAGTCTCACACATCTAGCTATAGCGATCATTCTGCATCAGGCAGCACCTTATTTAATTAAGAACATTAAGAAGTAGCCCAGTGTGGCTTTGTACTGGAGGGTCTGTTACTGAGCAGATTACTGTGAGAGTGGTTTCCTTTCAAGCAATGGGAGCATACAGGACCTGGTAGCTGCGTTTGACACCGAGACACCGAGTAACAGGATGTTCTTTTTAGCTGTCGTATACTGTTTTTATACGTATACCCCAAAGGCACCAGCCAATGTGCTGGAATTATTTAGACTACCCATGTGAAATGTCAAAATACAGTTGTATAACAAAACATAGAAGCTATTTATATGTCACAAAAACTTGATAAAAGTCCATAAATTTGTATATCACAAGAAAATGACCAACATAGGGTTTTAATTTATAGAAATATGTTACTTTTATGAATGCCGGAGGTGTACAGCAGATTAGAAATTAGGAATATATGTGAGGCATAGTCAATTAACAGATCGAGAGATATACAGGAGCACAGGAAATAATAGACTAATAGAGAGTGTTCTGGTCCAGGAAATATTAGGCCTACTTTGTAGGAATGTCATGATTTTTTCTACACGAAAAGCCCATCTGCTCTTCCCAGAAGACTGTCTCAGTGTGCGTCTACAGCAATAACACTGTATTCCCAGAGCAGCAGTCCTTAGGTCCACTCAGTATCACACATTTACGGGCCACTGCAGCGCCCGAAAACTCACATGCAAACACATCCATGAGCAGCGGACATACACGCACATACAGCGCATGCATAGTGTGTACTCCAGTATGCACTGGATCATTATTAGTTTATTTCTTATGAGTTAGTTGCTTGGCAACAGCTTTAACAGGGTGGAAATGTGAACTGTTGGATACCTAGAACAAGGATGTTTTTTGATCAGGTCCTGCCCCCTCATCCTGCTGGATAATATGAATCTCCTTTATGCTGCAGTAGTCTTTCAAAGCCCCTTGAATCACGCAACCCTTCAGAGTATACCACGTTTTAAGCCATGGCCGCGCTTCCATTCATTTACTATAGTAACACAGCATTGACGGGTGCCTGCTTCCTCTTTGACGGTGTGCATTATCATGTCTGTATTGATTCTCTTCTATCAAACAAACATCACAGACATGCTCAGTGCAATCCACCAAGAAACTTGTATAAGATTTCAATTTAATCTAAAAGCTTGTTAATAACCTGTTAAACCTGGTAGCATGTTTCAAGTCAAAAAATCCACGGAGCCAACTAACCAAATTGGGGTTCAGCTGAATAACAGCGTGGTGCTGTTCATATCTGATATCTGTGCTGTGGTCATGATATGTATTTTAAACTGCACAAACGGTGGGTTAACTGCCAAAGCACTGAATAATCCAATCACATGTAAATTATTTACGAATTTCGGGAGCACGTTCTTTACTTTTACCCATGAATAATGCATTTTCACTGCATGGCTTTACTGATACGTTTCATCAGTATTGTTCTCTCTGGCATGAATTCTGTCATGTGTATGTATGTTTAAATTCTTTGCATGACTCATATGTGCTCCAGAGATTGGCACTGTCTATCTACAGATGAAGACAATTCTATAAATAGGGTTGTTGGTGGGGGGATAAAAAATGAGATTCCTGATCTCGCTGAAAGCCCATAAATTTACCTTATTATTCTGCAAGGTTTATTCTGCAAATGTCAAGCAATATTAGAATCTATATCTTTAAATCCCAGCATGCATCCTTGTGTGGGTCTACACCTGTCTCATCAGTAAAAAAATGACCAGATCTCAGATTGTCGGCTAAAATATTCCAATTTATTCACGAACAATTTCCATCAAACAATAAGAGCTTTCATCCCTGGAAAAAGCCAGGTTTCAATCCCAGACAGCGATTTTAGTAGCTTGTTTTCAGATTGGATCCAGAAATATCCTCTAACCGTGTTTCATGCCTGAGAATAGTTCTTTAGTCTAGAGTTTGAGTTTTTTGACATTCCAGAGGTGTCGCACCCTGGCGACTATGATGTTTCTCCTGGGGGAAGCTCTCTAACCAGTGAGTCATATTCAGCAGCACAGCCCTGCTGTTGGGGTAACACAAGTGGAGTCCCTTCCATGTATTAGTCAGAAGCCGGCCTCGAGGCTTGATGTTCCTGGACTGTAATTGTGCAATATAATAGATCTCTGATTAACCCACGCCTTTAGGACAATGAGAAGTAGTAAGGCTATAAAACAGCTCTATCCATAAAAGTGCACACACTTGATGCAGGCTGACAGTGTTTTGAAGACTGTTAATGATTAAAGCTTGCTTTCAGTCTGCAACAACACCAGTGACTATATTGTTCTGTAGGTTAACATGTATCTTGTCAGTGCTGCAGCTTTTCAAACATCAATAAAGATGCCGAATGTACTGAACTTGTCATCGCAAGGTCATTACTCTCTTTGCACTGATAACCTTCTCTTTAGATAGACCACAGGGAAGATGTTCAAGACTAAACACTCGAATCACATGAATATTTCGACGAGTAGATTCATTGAAACTGTCCAGATGGCATCACAGACTTCCCTGTGACTGTTTAAGATACAGGCTTCGATTGTCAAATGGTTTGTGATGACTCACTCCTTCCCCCCCCCCCCCCATGATCATATCTGCCTGTCACTGTCTCAGTGTTTCTTTGAAATATGATCTCTCATTCAATATCTCTGCATCCTCTGTGTGCAGGCACACCTCTGCCAAACTACCAGACAGTCCGGCAGCAACCACAGATGGGGAAGACAGGACTTAGCCTGTGAGAGCGTCATAGAACTTCGCCTCCACACTTAACTCAATCTGTGCCCATGTAACGCCAGCATGGCTAGGCCTGCAGCCAGATCCGCCCCCATATCTGCGATTGTCACACCACAACACCAGCGGCACAGCAACGCGCTCCTTCTTTGAGACAGATTTAGACAGCACTCAGCGTTCTCACCACCTGTCAGTTCACCGTGTTCAAACGTGTCGCCATGGCAATAAGGGTCTTTAAACTAACATTGTTAGTTGTCCTGTAACTGCCTTGCCCCTAGGGTGAAATACGCACATCTGACTTTCCCCGCCTGCCGCTCACACAGAAGGGCATGCGTGGTACCCTTTCACACAGCCAGGCTGGTTCACTCAAAGGTCTGACTGGCTATATATTATGCACAAACCAGAAAGAAACAAAGGACAGAAACATTGTGTGGAGATGGTTTCTGCAGAGCAACAACCAGCGGCAGCACAGAAATGCCACACATTCACATGCCCCAAATGCATATCTTAGTGTTGTAGCATTACCCCCAACAATGCAGATACACCTTGTACTCAAGGGAACATCTCACACAGCAAATATTTAAAACATCAGGAAGAATGGATGCGTGGCAAGGAAGTAATTAATTTCTAAAAGCAAGAAAGTGATTTGAAAAAAACAAGTTATGAGCTAATTTACCGTTAAAGAGACTAAGTTTTCTTCAGTGATCAGCTGCTCACCAAAAAGCCAAGAGAAAGTTTGAGTGCTAGCAGACCTCATAACCAAACTGCATTACAATATAGAGGATTATTCATGGTGAGAAAGGGAAATGTGTCCTGTGGTGCGTTCCTACTGATGAGGAAGATTCAGTGAGAAGCTAGGGCAGACCTCAGACCTCAGGCTTGTAATAGTACATCCATAAATAACCACAAGACAAAGGCACTCTCTGAGGAGCCCAACTTGCAGGGTTTCACTAAAATGAAAGCTCGTTTATCAAATCCTTTATTTCCAAACTGTCCTTTTCACCAGGAATCCCAATATAGGTGCTCTGAATCCTCGTCTTACATCGTTTCCCAGAGAGTCTCTACCTGTTTAATGTATCATTGCACTCTACTTCATGTTTGCATTGCGTTTTGTCAGCAGGGAGACCAAAACATGTGTTTCACAGAAAAAGGGGATGTTTGCAGAGTTCCTCTAATCTTGGAGTATTAAACCTAAGATACGGTAGCATTTAATCATTTAAAAAAAATAAGTAGATATAACATTTTGTTTTCAACACACTGCTTCAAACTTTCTCTACAGTTAGTTACTCTACAAAGCATGGACACCTTTCCCTCCAAATATTTGTATGGCAGCTATTCAAAGTGATTAATTGACATATCAGTGCTAACATGTCCACTGCTGGCTACTGTTTTCTACAAATCATGACTAAAATGTATGGAAGGATGCCACCGCTAGTCCTTTGTCCTGAAGTACCCACCTGGAGAGCTCCCAATAGCAGATAGATTGGTTCCTACAGTTTCTATGGTTTATCAATGATCTGAAGCCAATGATTTTATTTCTGGATGGGAAGAGGTGTGTGTCTGTCTTTGAACAAGATATCTGGAACATGAGGCTGCCCGTCTCGGGTGAGGTGAGCCACACTCTTCATCTGAGACAGCAGACACGGTTTTCTGGCTGACTGAGCCAGGATGACGAGTTTTACTTAATGCTTTAAGGCATGTATATTTGTGGGTATTTACAAATCTCGGTTCCATTTGACACACCATCTCTTTTCTCAATGACTTGAAATTACACTGATGTGGCAGCCATATCACAGCTGAACATTTGGAGACCCAATTAGCAGAACTTTCATCGCGTCAGCTTGAGCGAGGCGAAAGGAGCACTGCTGCTGAGAGTAATCATGCTGTCACTAGTCATCCTGTCATCCCTTCTCGAGCACAACATCTGTAGCATGTCTGCCTCTGACAGAATCGCTGCCGAAGTGTGAATTACCGGGAAAGAGAAAGAGATCTTCTAAATTAGATCAGCCAAGCACACGGGCGTACAGGTAAACAGATCCTCCTTGCGGAACCGATACTCATTAAGTCCCTGTGTTAACATCTCGCAGGGGGTAATTGCACATGGTACTTAAGTCTAAATGGACAGTTATATTACTATCCATCACACTCTCGATCTTGCTTGTGCTCTCCCCTCTCTCTGTCTCTCTCTCTCAGGAGCTGCTGATAGTTAAGTACACCTTTTGTAATTGCACTGTCTGACATAATTAATGTAGCTTTTTACCAACTCATTTCAAATTGAAACTCAATTAACCTATTGCAGATAGACAGCCCACATACGTTCCTACCTGAATGGAGACATCACTGTAGGAGCCTCCTATGACCCCAGAGATAGCCAGAGGGACGTCATCGTGGATGGCATAGGAGCCATCGGGGCACGTGTACTCACTGTCATCCACTTTGGTGAGGGAGGCCCTGACAAACTCCAGAGACTGCTCTAGAGCGTAGGTGTCCTTGGAGCAAGTGTCCAGTATATGAGCTCCCAGTCTGATCCCAGGCAGGATGCGCTCGTTCTTGTTGATTTCATCTAGTGCCAGCAGCATGGCCTCCAGTCTCTGGATCCCTCTCTGAGAATTGATCTTCCCACAGTCCTCTACTCCCTCACCCTTCTGGTGCACAGGGAACAGGCCGCCAATCATCAAATCTCCTTCCAGTGTGATCTCCCTCTTGGAGTCAGTGTTATAACCTACCACAGGCAAACCCTGGGGAGCCTGGGCAAAGAGGGACACACATAAGTACAGCAGGCTGATGTGGGACAGCCAGAAGGGTAGGGGCACAGGGCGCACCCCCAACACGGGGGATTTCCCCAATGACATATCCCTGGGCAAAAGAAAGTCACCGTCCTGCTTGTGGTTTCTGGTCAGCGTTTAATTGACTTTTGATGATGAAGAAAAGAACAGTAAGGCGCAGCAGCACCAGATCTCAAAGCACCAATGTTTTTATTCTGACAGAGGCCATTTACAGCATCAGCCCCATCCTCTTCGTCCTTCTCTTCTTCAGAGTTTTTTTGTAGATTACAGCCTGCAGATCAAAGAGAGAGAAAATCAGTCACAGCCTTTGAGGTGGAGTACAATGATCCCTTTGTCTCACACACATCGTGTCTGCCAGAGACTGACTCGTCCCATGGAAATATTTGACATCATCTGCACAAGTGAGTAAATATTTGTTTCCTTTTTGATGATGGATGTGATTTGCAAGATAGAAAAAAAATGAAGACAGGCCATTTAGCCACCACAAGAGTTGTAAGCTAATCAACAAGATGGGTTCACCATCAGAGCAGGGTGTGTTTTATTTTTGAACCCCCTTTCTCTTCCTGTTTCATTGTCTGACTGACCTCAAGTTACTTCCCTTCCAAGGCAGATGATTGTGCAGCTCTTTTATAATCACATGTGCACATGCTCCTGTACACCGAAAGTCTACAGAGATAACAAATCATGTCCCAGAGGATTGTTTGTCAAATCACATTAACTGCTCACACAGTCTAACAAAAACATGATTTATGCACAACAAAAGTAAAACTCCAAATAAAAGGAGACGAGGTATTTAAATCTATTTCAACCAGACACATTCATTTAGTTGCCAACAGATTGAATTTCCGTAATTTTATCTAGAGCAACTAATTCATGTTTTGCTGTCTCTAATGTAGTACATTATTTATTTTCAATACAAGGCGTGATGCAATTCCAAAATAATGTGAGTGTTTCTCATTCCCAGCTAAAAAACAAACCAATGTGACTCACACTGAGGTTTCAGTGTTATTAGGAAAACAGAGCAAATGAAAAGATTTAAGCCATGTCCTTGGATTATAAAGGCATTTAACTTAATACGAATACAGAACTGATAGTGACAGGTCAGAGGTCAGGAAGATGGATTCCCTGGAGCTAGAAGAAAGAAAAAATGTCAAATGACCACAGATTGTAATTTAATGAGCAGTGAATCTATTCTGCAGTACAGGCAATTATTTCAAACTATTCCTTTATGTTTGATTACCTGAAGCCCACATAGAACACCAAAGCTGTTTTTATTAAATGTGTTTATTTATGCTTTCCTTCGAGAAAAGTCCTTTGCCTGAAATAGCAGAATTTAGTGTCAGGAGAGACTACAGAGTTTAGGTGCAATGTAGACTGGACCATACGGATTCAAGGCGACAAAGAAGAATCAAACAAATCAGAGACTCACATTCTCCGAAATGATCTCCCCTAATTAGGAGCTGATTCAGCACTGGCTGGATAAATATGGAGGGGACAATAAGCTGCATGTAGGCAGGGTTCACAATTGCACATCATATAAGAGAAAAGTAGAAGTAAAGGACCTCCTTCACTCAGTAAAGTCAGCAGTATAATAAATAATATCCACTTTCTCCAGTCATTTAAATTTGTCATAAAGCTGGCATCAATACTGTGCAGAGCCCCATCCCGATGTAATGTTACGCCTCACACTAATGGAGTTTATGTACGGATTTTCAACAGAAGAGACACAGGGTTATTGTTCAGTCCTGGTTTCAGTCCCCACACATCCCAGAGGCTTAATTATGCAGAGTGTTGAGTGTGGGAGAAGTTTATCGGAGTAAATTATTGAGCCAGAATGATCTGTCACATATCCACTGTTTCAACAAGTCAAGTACGCTGACAAGCACTAATTAACTGTATTGATGATCATGAAACCAGAGCAGCGGATATTATTACTCATATTTTTTTTTTCTGTTCCAAAGTAGTGACTTACTTAGTGAAACAACTTATAGCAACAGGAATCAGACTGCAGACCACATTCTTTGTTTCTCTCTCTCTCTCTCTCTCTCTCTCTCGCTCTCTCTCGCTCTCTCTCTTTCTCTCGTTTCCATGGAAACCTGCTGGTAGATAGAGAGGGTGAAGAGGAAGAGGAAGACAGACCCGGACAAGTGGGCCAGTCTTGCTTGGTCCTGTGGGAAAACTGGGGAACCTGCTCTGTGAACTGAGTCCAGTCGGAGCTTCTTTTTGTGTTCTGCCTTTGAAACACATCTCAAGCAGAACAATAACTGAATGACACAACAATCCGCTGTTTCAAACCACTAATGATTTTATTCATCGCTTTCATATCTTATCTTTGAACCATCACTTTTCTTACTTGTCCAGTATTGTCTTAATAAAACAATTATGGCAAACACTGCAGTCTTTTATTAATAAATAAGATGTGACATGTTGCATAACATTTGATGAACCGCCAGTGAAACTTAAAAGGTCCTTTTTCTTCCACACAAAATGAGTGTGTGGATATCAGACTTAGTCAACATGTGAAAGTTCATTGCAACAGCCTGTGCATATGGGCTAAGTCACATCTAATTCCCTCGCATACAAAGGCAACTGCAGAGTATTAATGTTTCGAGGGTGTATCCTGGTTGTACTTTAGCTCTGCAGCATGTGAAACATCGCCGCAGTAAATTCCCAAATAGCAAAAGAAACAACAAGTGTGGGCTGTAAGCTGACTAAATGTGTTTATTTTGAATATAATTCTGCATAGGGCAAAAAAAAGATCTGCAACAACACTGGTAAAGCACTTAAGCACACCGCCTCAAGAGAGAATGGCGAAGGATTTCTGGCTGACACATTGTCAGTCTCCTTCCCGACTCGGTATTCCCACAGGAGGCCTCCATCTCACCAGTAGACTTTATTTCTCTATCTGTGTCTTTGTTCACTACACTCCAATATCCAACCCATATTGATAGCATACACATTCCTTTTGGAAACTCTTTAAATATAATAATGTCAATGCAAAGTCACAAGTAGTAAAAATCTCCATAACACCTCGATTTGCTACACTTTTTTTAAAGTCTTTTTCAGGCCAAAACAATTCATTTGGAGGCTACAGGTTTAGCCTTTTACACACTTCATTTGAAAATCACACTCGAAGCAATAAACATTTTGGAAATACGGTTATTTTTGTTCGAAAGAGAGAAGATTAACATTTCTCTCCTGTCAGTATGTTGGTTATAAACCTACCAGCAGCCACTTAGCTTATCTTAAATACTTGAAATAGGAAAAGTTGGCTCTGTCCAAAGGTAACAAAATTTGCTTTCCAACAACTACTCACTAATTAACACTTACATAGTGACACAAAACGACATGTTGTGATTTTATAGACGGGGATATTTCAGTCACTCCCTGGAGTCCTACAACATTTTCAATTTCTGCACTTTGGACGGATGGATAGATAGATAGAGAGATGGATGGATGGATGGATAGATGGATACTACCTAGCTATAAGTAGTTTGTGTCTGTAAAATTGCTATGAGCAATGCTGTGAGCAATGTTTACACTTCAGATGTAATATCCCACCCAGGATTTTGTCTACATGTTAACCTCAAAGAAAAAAGTATGCCTCTCATTTCCCTCTCTCCTCCTATGCAGCCATCTCTGTTTCACTCTTCACCAGATGGCCTTTTTAATTCAAGAGCGTAAAGCCTGCCAGCCTCTTACACACTTCAAACCAGACTGTGTGAAGGAATGGAGGAGTGGCTGTCGGCCGAAAAATATAAATAAAAAAAAGATAGCAGATGTGAGAGGGCAGGGGAAAAAGAAAAAAAAGAGTGTGGGCAGCGGTGAAAAGAGGGATAAGGGTGGGGTTTGAGAAAGATGCTATCCAGGCTGATTTTTTTTTTTATGACACTCATTTGCCCCAGGAGTGGAGTGCAGCATTAATATGGTAATATCCCCCCCCAGGCAATAGCAAGTGTTGAAGACTGGAGGTCATCTACTGTAGATGCAGCCCTGGGCCTGTATGAGCGAGGTTGGAGATCCCCAGTGGACTGACTTTGAGGCTGGCTAAGAGGAAGCAAAGGTAATGGGAGTCAGGCTTCCCTACAATCACATTTCCAGCTGACAAAGAGAATGGTCTTTGGTTGGGGAAGACTGAAAATGGTCTGCTAATGGGAAAGAAGGCTCCAGAGTGCACACACACTTTCACTCACACGCGAAGCTCAAATCCTGGAAGCACCTGTGACAAATGAAAGTCTGTGATGGTTTGCCATTGAATATTTGATTGAATTTTTTTGGACAAATATTAAACCCTGACCTTGAAGGCTGGTGATATTCTGTGTTTTTCTTGCTGTCAACAAGTCCCACGACAAGACCAAAAGCAACAATTAATTCATCCTGCTAACAAGTTTTTACTTTGTATACCTAAAGTAGGTTTTTTTGTGTGTTACAGATCGCCATTGTCACAGAAGCCACAGCGTTGCACTGGGTGACATTCAGTATATTCACTACCATGAGTATTTCAAGTAGATTCCACATACACTGTCCTGTTGCTGCAAATACTCGGCGTAAAAATGTGCACGTATAAACCCATGGCTAGAAATTAGAAAGGGGACATATCATAAAAAAACTCCCCCTTTCAGTGTTTGTGCACATAAATCTGGATATCTGGTCTTTTTCAGGAGGGGGCTTAAAGTGACAGGCGCTTAAACTTAGCGTTTCAGACAGAGCTGAATACAGGTATATTAAGACAGCAACGTGTCCTCAGACAGCAACGTGTCCTTATAATATACCACAAAAAGTTACTCCCCATTTTTTGTGCATTTTCCTATAAAAGCCTGCAACACATGTCAATTTCCGCTCGTTTTAGCATAGTCTTTTCAAAATAAACTTCCGTCTTCTTAGGAAACTCAATTAGGTTTAGGCAACAAAACTATTTGGTTATAGGTTTATAACTTTGATTGTGAAATACTTTGTTAGGTTTAGGAAACAAACCTACGTTTTTAGGTTTAAAAAAAAGATCGTTGTTTGGGTTAAAATAACCATGTGGTATATCTACGAAATACAGTATCATTTATTGAAGGTATTGCTATGAATGCTGGATTAGACCAACCAGCAGACAGACAGTATGCAAAAAAGCATGTGTTTTTTTTAATACTAAAGCATGTATGAACCTGAAAATTAACATAATATCTCCCCTTTAAAGGTTTTAAAGTCTTCAATAGGAATAACTGGGTTCGGAGCAGAGATTCACAGACAGGGTAGAGAAGTCAGAGGTTACTGAAACGCTGT